TCCAATCCCAAGTATTCTGTGATTTTGTGAAAACATTTCATTTTGATCTCTCCATGACATGTGACTTCATTTATAAAAACAGTTAAATCCTTCTGCAATTTTTTTTTTTTTTTGAGGCTGTCCGTCAGGTTCAAAAGGTACAGTAGTAAGTCCTTATCGATCCCTCAGAGCTCACTTTGACACTGATAATTTCTGAGCCTACCCTTTTTCAAAAGATTGTCAGAGAGCAAGAAAGGGAAGCAAACTGCAAGTAATAGCATCCTGAAATGATGGAGTTATCTCCCTAAAAATAAGACTAGATTCCCAGAAATAAATGTTCCTCTCTGATCTCCTTGTGGTCTTCTGCTTTCAAAAACTCACTACTACTTAACCAGTTCTGTGCAGCGTCCACAGTGGGACAATTATCTGAAAAGCAATAGTAAAAAAAAAAAAAAAAAGTAGCATTGAAAAAAATAGCACTGTTTTCCACAGACTAATGTATACAAAATTCAACTAATGCATACGATTTATTCAACATGCTTCAGACCAAAAGCTGTTACAGTGTCGGGTACTGACAGAGATCTATTCTCTTCTAGTAAGCCAGTAACTGCTTTAAATTTCCACTGTGTTCGAGGGTCTTTTTAGCCCGGTCTTATAATTTCTGAGCTGCAATTTGCAAAATTAGTTTCCAAACTTGCAAATCTGATTCATGGGAGCAACAGTAGCAGTAGGAGTTTGTCAGTGAGAACTACTGGCATGTTTACATCTAACACTGAGCTTGGACTTGATAAATTATTTGTTCACTACTTGCTGAATATTTTTGCAGCTAGTCTTCCAGAAAGGGTGCAGTGAGGCGGCAACGCTTGGGGAATCTGAGTAAGGGCAGAGGGATGATTCCCAGACTGTAGGGGGACAGGCTCCAGGAGACCCCGCTGCTGGCAAATATCTGGGAAGAGTAGATAGGAGGCCCTTGGACAGGCCTTGAAAGTGATAAAAAGAAAGATGGTATGAAATGTGTTGTAATCCCGAAAAGCACTGAAAGTTGAGGAGTGCAGAAGCAGCCTGTGATACGGTGGGAAAGGCAGTGTTTGGTTGTTTCTCCCCTCTCTTCCCCAAACGCACTTGCTTCTCATTTCCCAGCTCTGAGCTTGTGCCTAGCCACAGATTCACATCTCAGTCCTGACCCTATTGCAACGGGAGCACATCGGCACTAAGGGAACTGGGGTTACGCGTTACCTCGTTCGCTAAAGCCTGTTTTTCACTGCTGTGCAGTTCCTATGGCACCAGAATAAACAATAATTTTGGTTCTTTGCACGTCACCAGCATTATCCTAGACAACCTGTTCTTTCATTGTCAGCTCTCTGGATTGTATAAACACTGCGAACAAAGCCTTCCGGTAACTCATGTTTTAGAAGTACATTTGTGCTCAGCTTTCACAAGGAGGAGGCAGCAGAAGATACCTGCACCCAAACACGTGCAGGCAGAGTTGCATGGCGAACCATTTTCCTGCTTCACTGATGCGACAGGTTCAAACCCTCAGGGGCAATTCTTGCTGCACATACTCTTGGCACGCTCTGCTGTTGGGTCAGAATCCCTGCATGGATCCTATCAATGGAGAAAGCCTGTGTGGGTTCAAACACAACTCAGCACAATACAGGGAAGAAAGATCCAGCAAGATACCACCTTTCATTTGTGACCTCCTGCAATCGGTCATTATATCAGAGAAGGTCATTAAAAACTTACTGTCGTTTGTATTTTTCCTCAGAATCCACTGTTTGCCATTATCAGAGACAGGCTATATGGCTGGTGGGATCTCTGGTCTGGTCTCCTACAGCTGTCCATATCTTGCTTCATGCAGCTGGAGGAACACAAAATAACTTTCCTAATAGCAGATGGAAAGTCCATGGTGGAGCAAAGAGCTAAATGTTTCCTAAGTAATAAGCTGATGCAATAACTGCTAACCTCTCTTTCCTTCTCAGTGCACTCAGTCATGAAGCTTAAGTGAAGCGATACACCCAGAAACATCTTCAGAAATTTGAAAGAAATGGATATTTAGCACAAGATCTTCAGCTTCTTGAGCCTACGTGGATCAAGGCTCACATTCATCCTAGATGTGAGCATACTGAGATTATTGCAAGAAACTCCTGGCCTTACTCATCTCCAAGAGTAAGGCTGCACATATTTGAGTGAACTGTCTACGCAAGCCAGGCTTTTCTCACAGACAATTTAGAGGGAACCATTTATACATTCAGAGAAAATCTACCTCACTGTTTTACTGAAAAATTTACCAGGTTACACTTCATCCTAACAGTCTATCATTTACAAGGTATTAATAAAGGAGTAATAAATATGATATTGCTTCTGATAGAAAGAGTATATTATAGGTGTTTATAAACACATCAGTAAATGTTACAGACTTTTAAGTAACCCTACTGACCTGTAGTATAAGTGGTCTACAACTATTGATTCACACCATATATTAACACTTTATAGATAAACTTTTAAAAGTCACTTATAAACAGCCTCCTAGTACAAATGTTATGTCTTCCCAAATACATAGGGAAAGGTCACACACAATCATTCCAAGAAAGAGCACAAGTCTTCTTGTTTGGTTTAGTTCCTGTAAAATTAAAGTTGTACCTCAGAAGTAAAATTAACACAGAATACAATTTTTTAAAAATTAGTTTACTTCACTATTCAAATGTAGAAATTTAACAAAAGAGAAAAAGCACCTGAAATGGTCAAACTACATTGTTCAGAGGAAGAATGTCCCAGAATAAGCAAGCAGTATTAATTCTGCTTGCCTGTCTTTTCCTTCTCCCTTTCTCTTTTTATCTTGGCAGATATCTACTAACGGGGTGAATAATCCCATCTAATTTCAGACATCTCAGAATTGGTTGTCTGAGTCGATATTGGTCTCCAAGGTGACCAATTGCTCCATAATCAATGGTCACCAAGGTGACCAATTGCTCCATAATCAATGGAGCAAAATGGGCACATTCAGAGGACCATCCAGTCCAGTCATCTTACCATGGCTTTATCCATGACGAACTCACCCTCTGCAGAGGCCTTTTTCTCATCATCAAGCGGATCATCTATGTTCGCTCTCTAGAGTTGGACAGCTAACATGTAGATGGCCATGCCTGACTGAGATACACCCCATTTTTAACATCTGCTATTAAACAACAGCTACATATTTGGCTTGGTATGATATATGCAATTTGAAAGTTTAATTTGTGAAACTGAGAGCTTCAGTTTAGGTGAAGAGAACCTGTCAAACTTGACCGAACTTTAAATAGTATCAGTAGGAAAATACTCGTTATCATGGGGATGGATAGAAAAGTAGCAGCTGATGCTTTAAGACAGTGATTGATGTTGATAAAAATCTCTACTGGATCCACACCTCTCAGCCTGTGTCAGTAATAGCAATACTGAGGAAGACGAGGCAAAGCACTTTGAACCCCTGGGGTTTCAGACTTCTGTACCTGTGGTCCACTACCACCTTCAACCCACTGATATCTTTGGGTGAGCAATGCAGGGTAGACAACAAGATGACAGAAATGTGAATTAGTATTTGTTTCTAAAATCTGGCACTTCAGCGTATATCACTGTAAGACTGCCTGGAATCTTGCAGAGCTCTCTCTGCTGTCTACCTTCCATAAATGCAAACTTTTCTTAATACAAGTGCCAGTCTTTTTTAATATCAGGTGTAAGTAAAACATTTTGCAAACCTGGATGAAGCATCCTATGGCAAGGCAAAGTGTAATTAATCATTATGAATACGTAACTGTCTCTGTTAAGCAGTTAGGACTGTTCTGGCAAAGTTTCCTCTCAAACTAACACTGTGGTGAGGAAGTTTCTTTGGTAGCAACTTCTTCCTTCTAACTGACTCCTTCGTTTACCAATAACTCTGTGCAGTTGCAGGGAGTTTTATGCAGTCTAACCTTGTTATAATGAACCCTTTGACTAAATTGCTGTAATAGCTGAATGGTCAACCACAATTAAGATGCAAGAATTTGCTGCATCATCAGGCTAACGAAGGAACAGCACCATTTGAGCCAAACATATCTAGTACAGTTGCAGAGTTTTGTTCACATCAATCAATAATTAATCCAAGGAAGTATTTTCAAAAGAAAACTATTGAAGACATACACAAAGGAAGGAGAAAACACGCTTCCGGGGTAACTTTACCACACTCAAAGAAAAACAGGAGTGATATCGTTCTTGTTCAGATGCCTTTTTTTTTTTTTTTAGTAAGGCTAATTATGAATGCAAAAGATATTAGCTGCTATCATTGGGGTTGTATTACTGAAGCTAGAGCGTAGCAAGACATGATGCTCCTGCTTTGGCACTCTAAGCTGTGAATCTCAGCGTACTCTTGTGCTTGTACGCTGGGAAAAAGTGGCCTTCCGACTATGTGAATCCTGTCTACTTTCTCGTCTACAACTTGGTACTAACTCAATCAGATGGCAAGGTGCCATCACGTATACGTGCTGACAGACAAGGCTGGAAGGCCAGAAGATGGCAGCTTGCTGGTAAAAGTGTGAAACTATTGACTACTGACACCCAAATCCTAAATTCAAGCTTGGCGTGTGTGTGTGTGTGTCTATAGAAAACACTGGAAAAAATCTCACTATCATATTAGAAATATCTATTCAGCACTTGAGTAAGTAAGGAAATAATGCAGTAAAATCTATTCGCAAGAGAGCTTTGCAAAAACGTTCTTGGCTCTAACCCATGCTGTTAAGACCATAATTTTTAAAAATACTTAGCTCACATATATCTAGGTTATCTAAGAGGACAGACTCAAAAGTTTCAGCTGGATTGAACTGTCCAGTGAATTCTCTTTGCTGCTGTTGAGCTATTTCTGAATTATAACCATGATGTAAAGCCATCTGCCCATCGATGTGACAAGAGGCTGGTGTTGGTTCTTCCATGCTATCACTCCTCCATTTCTGATGGTATTACTTGCAATAAATTATCCCCTCCAAGTGCAAAGAAAAGGCACAAGTACAAGAGTCTCTTAGTAAAACATTAATCTCAGATCACAGATTTATTTTATGGATTTGCAACACAGCCCATATTACAAACATTGTCTGGGAACATTTACAAGAATAAATAAGATGAACTCGCAGTTGTAAAAAAAAGATTACACTTCACTGTAATGTACAGTCAAAAAATATATCTGATATTCATTGACTTGACATTATTTACCTTCCTTCTTTTAAGCTAGAAAGAAAAGACACTGACTGCACAGTGTTGAGATTTCTGTATTTATATTTTTTTTTCCTTTTTTTTTCATACGTGCTTTATCTATCAAACATCCAAACTGTACAAGTGAGTTTCACGAGTAACCCATAAGGGCCAAAGAGGGAGGGGGGGAAAATTGCAACAGCAAAGAGATTAGCTCTCATGCAGCACTCCTCCCTGTTGGCCGAACAGTTGCATTCAGGGAGCAGAAACAGGATACTGCTGATCCAGAGGCAGCCACAGCATTGCCGTGTGACAGAGGAACAAGGCTGGCAGCAAGTGATGCTAGTACGTTTTAATTTCAGCGGAATCGGTGCGGGGGGGAAAGGAGGTGAAGGAGATAAATCAATATGGGAGTGAATTTTGTTAACATGGTTAGTCCGTATGAGTTAAACATGTAAAGGATATGGCTGAAACTTTTGGCATAGAAGTACAGTGCTGGAGAAGTAAGAAATGGCTGCAGGGATGATGATGGGATAATATCAGTTCTGGTCCAGGTACATGAAGTCTAGCACAGGAAGTCTGGTGAGACTTTTAGCAATCCAAACAACTGATCATCATTTGTCCTGGAGAGTCTTTTAGAGTAGCTAAATTCATGACAGTTTGTAAAGTGCTGGCCACACTCCCACTTACTTCTCTGCAAATGTACTCCCTTCCATAACTTCACATAAATATGATCCCCAGAGGTCTCCACTGACAGATGATGTACTCACACAAGAATGCCTCCATAGCGCAATGCTCCTAAGGTATGTCACAAATTCCCCCCAATACGTTACTGTTCTGGGACATCAGATCTCCCAATAAAAACCAACACCATTGAAATACTGCCACTCTGCAACAAGTAACTCCACTGAAGTAAATTCTACATTGTTGGAAACCTACATGCAAGAGATCAGGACTCCTCCCAAAGGGTATAGCTATGCTGTAACCTCACCTGGCAACAAGCAAATCCTGGCTCCAGACAAACTGGTGTCGACTAGCCCATGTCTACACTGCTCAAAAACAGCTCACGCTGAATCGGCTTGGAAGAAAAACATTTTAGTTTGTTTTTGTCTCGTTTCATTCTCTTCCCCGCTCTCCGCCCCACCATTAAACACTATGGGAAGACCAGCATCTGTCATTCAGCTTGCTGCATTGTTTTGTTTCTTAAGGCTCAGGTTGAAAACAGAGAAAAGGGACCAAAAAAACCTGTTTGATGGTTTGGGACAGGGATCCCAAACCATCCACAGGGATGGAAAGATTAATTTACATCCCTGTGGCTTTTACAAACTGAAAAAGCTACTAGTATTTCACAATTACGCCAGTCTGATAGGAAACTGGAGGATATGCCATGTATAGTTTATTGTGTACAAGGGAGGCTTTTCAATTCTTTTAATGCAGCAAATAAAGATTACAGACTAGAGGCCACTGGAAGTCAGGAATTTTTTTTTTTTTTTTCCTCCCTCAAATTCATTGCCACCAGGATTTGGGTCCTGATGTACCTGACGTATGAAAAATTATGATTCATCTTGACTATTATAGCAAAATTGCGCATTACTCAATTAAATATATTAGGAGTAAGACAACTGATACCTTTTCCAAGTTAATTAACAGATAACACGCTAGATTCTCCTAGTGGCCCTCCCCAAAATTGTGGAAGGTGGGCTTTGCTTGCTATGTTATTTGCTGGAGCTTGTTGAAGGAAGAGCTGTAGGCATTTCTGGAAATAGGGAAGGGCACTTGGCGTTTTTAAAAATGTGTACCACTTCTGCATGGCTATAGAAGTTTTAAATCTAAATAAACATGAACACAGGAGGATTAATGGAGTTCTTATACCCACTTCTGTATGCCAAATTTGATTAGCTGGCTCCCCCAGTTTCTACTCCTGAAAGGTCTGTGCAGGGAAGATGCAGTAATTTGTTCTGCTTTTTCACAGTCTTCTAAGAAATGCATCGAATTTTGGACCCACAGGTAGCGGTCACACTGAACAACTTTTGTCACATGGCTCCATTTACGTTTCTAATGAACTAGAATTCACATAAGTTTGTAAACTCAAGACAATTGAATGAACCTCAAATGGAAATATAGCTGGCTCACATAAAGTTCTTGAGATGCTCCTTGCAGTGGCCAGATATACCAAAGTTAACTGTGCCACAATGTAATACACTATATTATTTAAATTCATTATGGGACAATGGTGTTTTGTGAGGGCAACATTTCACTTATATTGGTTGTACAGGAATACATTAGGACTGTGCATTGCTCTGTGATGACTTGTTACGAATTCTGCAAGTGCGACTGGTAATGGCACCTTGTATTTGAAGATTCCTCTCTCAAGCAAATCTTTTCTCTTTGCCCCTCAGGATTTATTCCCTATGTTACACTGACTGCTTGGTCTCCAGAGAGCTCCACAGGGTGGAATGTGGTATTACCTGTTTTTATGATCTTGGCATGAACTCAGAAAAATAAGAGATATATAAGTGGCTCTGTTCAAGAATGAGACAGAACAAGGTGCAAGTTTCCTACCTGTTTCGGGACTCCATTTAATCTGCCTTCTCCTCTGCTGTTTGCTTTTCTCCCAAAGGAGACTTCTTCTCCTTTCCTTCTCTTCCACATGTCAATTAGATTAGCTGTCTTCTGAATAACTTTCTGGAGGAGCCTGTCTCCTTTGCCTGCCTCTACAGGACATCAAGAGCAGTGACCAACAATCCATGATCTGTGGATTCTTAGGGGAAATCCCACAAACTACTTCTAAAGGGCCTGCGAAAAGTAAATAGAAAAAATAGTCTACTGTCTGCAAGCTTAAATCTGCTATTTTGGGTCTACATTGTCACTAGGCATTTTTTATAGGAAGTTTACAGTTCCAAAATAAAAGCTTGGAAACTCCTGACACACAAACATGTGCTTCACTAGTCAGAAGTTATACATTGTGATCTCCTCCCAGACTAAGTAGAGGTCACAGGCATTTCTTAAAATCTCTGGCTACTTTTGGGAATTACCTGGACATCCTCTTCAAATGTGCACAGGCAGGGTGCTGACCAGGAGCAATGGGATCCAGCAACAGCGGCTTGGTTCAGGGCTGAAAGGCCACGAAGGCTCCAGCTCTTCTAGGCATGTAGAAGTCTTTCACTGATAAATGCCAGTTGCATGTAGACCAAGGTGGACAACTCTAGCTAACATAAATGGCTAAAATGTGAATAAAGTAAGCGGGACCTAACAGTGCACTAATAAAACTGGCTGAAGCTAAGCATGGCAAAGGCAAACATGAAGTTTCATGCAACTTTGCTAAAGAATTTCAATCATGAACCCAAGGGCCTCCTACTAACAGAGTCCAGAGACTTTCCAGGTCAAAGAACACCATTAATGTCAAGCTGCAGACATGACCAGAATAACCAAACCTCCATTTGCCTGCTTGCTACCAAAGGTCTTGATTCAGCTGCTTGATTCAGCTGCTTTCATATATACACTGCGCTCCCTTGCAAAGTTTCTTTTCTATATTAATAAACAAAACCTGGCATGCAATAATCTATACTGTGTAACTGTCAGCTTGTCTGTATTTTGTGCTTTGTCACCCAGGGCTCTCCCAGACAATATGCAGGCACGTGTTGAGGGAAAGCATGAGCTCAGGTTCATATACAGGAGAGGTCAGACACCTTCTCCTTACACATCATTCTGAGGGTGGGGGGAAGGTGCTAGCATATGATACAGCTCCTGAGGAGCTCTTAACTAAAATTAAAAAAAAATTGAAACGATTGTCAAGGCTACTGTACTTTTTAGGGGTTTTCGTCTCTATTTCTCACCTTCAGACAAGTCAGGGTCTTCTCCAGCAATCACTCTAGATATTTCTGGAATTCTTTCCTTCAGTTACATTCCTTAACAATTTGAGATGTTAGTTACCCTGTGCATGAGACAGCTCCCTGCCACCTTTCTTCAATTATTCCTAGCTCCCTGAATTTTAGATTATAATTTAGACCAATACTGTGCTATTAATAAACAATGGTCCATTGACCCTGGAGATGCCTGAACAGGAATAAATCTGTCTTCATTATGACCAAAAAGATATTGTCAATATCGTATTTTCCCATTTTAAGTTCAGTCTTTTCTATCTTTTCTACCAACTCCACTCCTCACTATTAATCCTTTCAGGAGCGAGACAAGTCTCCTTTATCTCAACTCATGTCTCTCTTTCCCAATGAAAACAAATCCCAACACCCATAATCTTGCTTCAAACACATTACTTTTTGTGCTATATGTTATTCTCTGTGGTTTAAATAACCTCATGGTGGTAAGGTTATTTAAAGTGAGGTTGTTCTTTTCTTTTTCCACTCAATTCCCTTCATCATTACTTCATGCAGAGCATACACACACTGTGCGGTGACGAACAGAGTAAAGATCTCTCAGCCAACACACAGCAAGCTCCTTCCCCCAGAAGCAGCCAACTCCACCAACTCCATGACAACACAACTGCTTGGGTCTACAGACAACTGAACCGGCGGAGTTTGCTGAGCATCTTCCCACATTGACTGTAGGCAGAAAATTAGAAGAAAGGCCAAGACACACAACTGAGTTACCATGTAGGAAGTTGTGTCCATCAGCTGGGCTGGGCTAACAGACACCTGCATTACTCATTCCTTACAAACACAAGGTAAAACTTAGCTTAACCATCTTTCACTGAAGTTTATGCTAACACAGCTTTGCATTTGCAGAGGGCTAAAAGCATGCCCGTGACAAGTTGCTGCGGGTCAGCTGATACATGGGCCTGACCCTTTAGTAGCAATTTTCACACCCTGAAAATACACTGAAACCTACCTCAAAGCCTTAAACAACTCCACTGTGGCGCTGTGTGCTCTGTTCTTCTGACACTTGCCTCTCTCCACGCACATTTGCTCGATGAATTCTCTTCTAGTTTTTTAATTCACTTTCTTTTATGCTACTCTTAAGCCTGGAACTACCTCCTACACCTCACATTTCAGTCATATTGTCATTTCTTCTACCTCTACTTTCCTTTTATCCTTCCTATTATACCTCCCTGTTTTAGTCTTTCAATAATTCAAGAGAGGAACCTCTTTTTACTACTGGATTGTTAGCTTCCATGTAAAATTCACAGAAAGCTAAATACTAATCAGTATTTTCATAACATCCCACTAACACTGGTCATATCTGGGTATGCAACACCGAATGACACCTCGGACGACTCGTTTTATAAAAAAGCTGAGAATATAATTGAAAAGCAAATCGCCCAGAAATAACTCAAAGAAGAGACAGCCTGGCCATGACAACCGCGTCCAAGCACACAGTACCTTTTCTTTAGACAGGCGTTAGGGATTTGGAAAACAGGCTGATTCCCTCTGGCTTTCTGGACTGAATGACTCAGGAATACCTTGCTGACTTGTAGCTTCTTTCTACCTAGGCAGTCGTCGAAAAATCCTGCCCAAGGATTGAGCAGGATGGAGCACCAAGGAGGTGCTCACTCCCCTCTTCTCTGCAAATGGCACCCGACTTTGGACCTACGCTGTTGCAGCAAGCCACCTCTAACCAAAACACTACTATTTTGCCTTCCTTTTCATTTTTATGTCACAGTGTTGCTTTGCCTTTTATTTTCCTTTTCTGTTTGCAAATACTTGACATCTTTTCTTAGATTTTTGCAGCTCCTGGCAGAAATGAAAACTTTTCAGTTAGGTACAGGTACGTTTAAGTCAAGAGTTGTTTTTATCAGATTTAGTAATTTTCCTCCTTCACTGTCAAGGCAAAGGTAAGACTATTAAAAAGAGAATGACAACGGATCAGAGCAGTCTTCTGGATTTACGTATGGAATTATTACTGTTTTTTGAACTTCTGGCATTTTCAATGCCAGACATTGACATGACAGAGCTCCCAGCACAGTCTCTGAGTATTTACCTGAAAGTGGAAAGCTACAGGGTGGTCAGAAAGTAGAGTTTTCTTAAACTCTCACCTTCAATCTAGCTTTCAGAAAGTCTATGTCTGAAGAAACGTACATCTCCCAGGATCTAATTTACATAGAGAACAACCTCATATTCCGTCTAGATAAATAAATGGCTAAACTGAAATAATGAATACTGCAAGGTCTTGTTCATTTAAATTTTCTTTTTTCTCTGGGATTACCCCACAGACCTTAATGATTAACTACTTACGTATACTCTTTTAGAAAAGCAATTTCTTAGCTGCAAAGAAGTCAGAGTAAGATCCAGAACCGTGGCAAAACACATCTGCTGTTTGTTTTAAAGAAATGGAGTTGCACGGGCATTTCTGCAGAACAAAACAAAAGCTGTTTTGCTTAAGATGGAAAGTCGTGCTGGTCTAATGCATTTTTTAATGCATGTCACTATAGATTTCCGTGTAGGTACATTGCCTTTCCTAGAGCTTGGATGGGTTACCACTTTGAAGTTTGCAGGGTCTGGAAATCTGGATAAGTTGCTCAACTACATCTGACAGTACAATAGTTTGGAAACAGTGAGGAAATCTTGATCAAACATAACTTTAAGATTACCTTCAGGTTTTAAGCTCTGTGAACAGGAAGCTTTTTTGCTCTTTGTTTGCACAGTGCCTAGTTCACTTCGATTGAGTCATGACTAGGGCTCCTAAGTTCTACAGCCATACAAATAATAAATAAAAAATAATAATACATAATATATGACCAATAAGTTTTATACCCTGTTTTTTAAAGACACACTGCACCCCAGTAATCTCTTGAAAAACATGGTAACAAAGTTACCAGAGTTGCAAGACAAATGCAATTTGCTTAATGCCAATATTTAATTTTAAGGTTTAAGTGGCTGTGGAACTCTTTAAAGATATTGCTTCATCAGCAGTGAAACGAACACGGATCAGAGAGAAGCAACCAGCTTGTGCGCAGCCTTGAGAGTCTAGCAGAAACTGGGAGGAAACATTTGTGCAGAAGCTGAGGCAGTGCATACATGAACAGCTTCTCATTTCCACTGCCTATTTTCATGTTAAAAGGAATCGGATACGGGAAGAGAATTCCAGCATTTTGTTTTTGTTTTTGGTGTTGGCCTTTACATTTGGAAAAAAATAAAACAAAACAAAAACCAAAAAATACCCCCAAACAGAGAAAGCAGACACATTGTAACAAAAAGTTTCATATATCCCCTATGGCTATATCTCATTTTTCCCAAATGACTGCTGCATGAAGTTCAAAAATTAAAGACCGCGATTTGAGAGCAAAACCACAAATTAAAAAGGAGACATTTAAAAGACAGAATTTCCTCGGGGTTTCATTCTTTCTCCACTCTGTAGTGAGGAGAGCAAAAATACAATCCAAAAGAGGAGAGGAGAAGTCAGTGGGGATTAGAAAGTCCAGTCTTCCAGGCTGTCTCCCGTTTTGCTAATTTGTACAGTAGGTTATTTGAGAAGCGGTAGATGCTCCAGTAGAAAGCAGGCAGCAGCAAACACAGGCATCGTCTCGTCCTCCCAGCGGCACTGAGGTCTGTGCAGTCGCAGGCTCTGGCTCCGGGAAGGAGAGTTTTTCCTTCCCACACTTGTTACTGCCTTCGAGTGTGGGAGAGGGGAAGAGAGCGTCTGTCAGAGACGGGGGGTCTGGCTTTTGGGAGACTCCCCTCCCTCCGCTAGGCTAAAAGGAACTCAAGTATTCCAGTGCAACCTCGTATACAAATTTATACTGTTCCTGAAAGAGAGAGCAGAAATCAGTGGCAGCAGGACACAGGTGAACTCTCCCGAGCCTCATTCAACCAGTGGATGAGAACAGCCCCCCTCTCCCTTATTTATACCATTTGGCAGGAGCAGGCAAACATTACTTGTACTTCTGTGGGACACCGACTGCACGTTGCTAAGAGATGTTATAGTCAATGGAAGGGAGAAATACCCAAAGAGGCAGGCATGACACAGGCTATTCATTACTTCCTTCAGGCCCTCATCGCATGCACTGCTTCTGAGGAAAGAACTCCGTTTGATCAATTGAGATGCTTTAATTCAGGACAGCTTAATCTCTTCAGATACAGGGAGCAAGGCCCTGGGTTTGGGCTGCTCTCCCTTCCCGGTTTCAAGGCATGTCAGAGCACTTGGCTCTGGGCACCGTGCACGTGCACAAGGATGACTCCCATCCCTCCCCGCAGCCAGGGGGGACACAACTGGCAGGTTTAACCTCCCGGAGGCAGCTGGATGTGCGTTGCTCCCCCTCGTCTCAAGGAGAGAAGCAGGAGGACCCGTCGATTCATTGTACGTGCTAACAATGGGATTGGTTTCGATTCTGATGGTGTTAAATGAAGATTGGTTTTGATTCACACAGCTAAGCCAGGAAGTTCTTTCACTATGCTAAAGTCCCCCTGTGTATGCTCGGTAGGTAAGGTGCAGGAGCCGAGCTTACCAGCGACTCCACCATGTTGGATTTGTTATTCCGCAGTGTTTTCACTATGTGGAACACATCGATGATATTTTGCTGTTGGATCATTTCGCACACGCTGCAGATGGCACAGAAGGTGCCACTGCGTCCCCCGCCATTCCTAGGTGCAGAAGGAAAGAGGCAATAGGTAAAGCTAGGCAAGGCCTAAGTAATGGGAAAAGCCTTTCTTACACGTCAGTGCATACAGCACGTTGCTCATAGGCGTCTCTGTATTTACCAGGCTGAGTAAAGCAGTTTAGCAGCTTGTGAAAGTGCAGATCTGTACTGGCAACATCAGAGATGGCAGCACGGGATGGGAGTGGAAGGGCTAAGCTGAGCCTCGGCGGCAGCAGACCGGAGAAGCCCCGGGACCGCAGTGCTGCTCCCGTTGAGAGGGAGCTGGCCGCATGAGAGGAGAAGCCCTACCATGACCAGAGCTGGCTGCTTGGCATTGCTGCTTTTGCTGAGTCTGGGCTGCAATCATGAGGCCTGTCTAAATCCCTATTTACATGACACACAGCATCAGAGCCTTTTTGGCTACTCTTCATTATACTCAGTAAGTCTGTGGGCCAGGATGCTATGCTGTAGCACAATATTCGACTTGAATTGTATTGCAAATGTAATTTAACTTCATTTTCCCCAGTAGAAGCCTGGCAGTCCACCAGATCTATAACCAGTGCTCGTCAGACAGCACTCACAAGGTCGCAAGATTTTCCAGTCCGACTTACAGGCAGTGGACAACAGTGCGTCCGTCCCTCCCATCATACTGTTCCTGCCACTTCTCCAGCCTTCTGACCACCTTCAGGAGGGAGCGTTTGGAAGGAGGGGTGTCCCTGTATGCTGGCCAGCCAATGTACTGCAGGTGCTGAACGATACGGTATCCATCCTGGGGCTAAAACAAATAGCATTTTCAAGATGATAAACGAAATGGGTCAAAAAGCATAGAGAGAAAGGGTAAAGCAGGGTGTACTGGTTACGCAGCACTGTCCCCTCCGAATTTGATATTATCAATGTTAGCAACCTTTATTGTGGATGCTTAACATAGTGGGGAACGAGGACTTTGCAAAAGCCTGGAGACAACGGTGACCTCAGATGCTACAGAGCTGGGCAAAAGCTAAGTACTCAAGATCCCTGTCTCCAATAAAGAATCAAGTCTCATCAAACTGTGAGAACAGATCAGATATGTCTTTCTGGTAGCCTGCGCTGGAGGTTAGCCATTCCATACGAACTAAAGGCAAAGATGACCCTCACAATATCTCTGGGGACCATAGAAGGAAAGGATCTTCATAAAGATTTTAGTAAAGCTGTTGTTGTTGAACACAGATAGGTGCAGAGCGCCATGAATTTACAGCAATCACCCTGCAAGCTATGCATTTACTAGCTAATTTTCAGTGTGGGAGTCATAGAGGCTTAGTCTTATTAGCTACCTAATGTCAGCGCTGTCCCTGGTTCAGAGGCAGTTGCCTTGGGATATTGGCAAGGTGAATATGTATCTGATTTATCTGCTCATGTAAATGGACCACAGGGTACATTCTGTAACGGTATAACTGAATTGCTGCATAGGCTGTACCACACAATCAGGCCAATGCGTTAAATAGGATGGAAATGTAATTTCTGGAGCCTGTTTCTGTTTCTGATTAAAAAAAAAAAAAAAGAAAAAGAAAAAAAAAGAGGTATAATTAATCTGGGAAATAATTACTGAGTGAAAAATCCTCTACTGAACTCCTGTCCACTGCAGCCCTTAAGTTGCATTGCTTGGGTCCAGTGTGCAGATAAAATTTGTTAGTACCATTTCAGCTACCCTAGGGCTGAGGGAATCAGACAGGAAGCTGCTTACAGAAATGACAGTTGTTATTTATGGGGAAACAGTGGCAACCGGGAATCCCAGTCTAGCCAGTAAACACTGCATCTGTCTTCAGAGACAAAGCTACTGTAAATACCCTGCATGGTGGTAGACAGATGGAAAGCAGTTGACATTATCCTAGTTTATTTCCTACAGTATTGATGGTTTTATGTTGGCTACTAGGTGATTAATTGTTTTCAAATACACACAGAAAATGCATTCCATTTAAATACAGACTTCCAGCTTATATCATCCACTTGCTGCTTCAGCCAAGAGCATTTTACTGATGTAGACTGATGCAACTAAATGTTAATTAAAGGAAATAGCTATTAAATTTTGCACTGGAATACTGTTCCTAAGCGCGACATTCAGCATCTCTAAAGCACAACTCTTAGCTCTAGCTCTTCCTCAAGCCAAAATATATTTAACAGAATAAATGAGGGATCTTGTATTTCACTGATCTTACCCTGGCCATGTTGCAGATCCGGAATATCCGATTGATGATATCTTCATCAATATCTGCTGAAACAAACTCCACTTGAATTGGGCCATAACAGCAGGAAGTCTTCTCTGGCCAGTACTGCATGCAGAGCTAGTGAAAACACCATAAGAAACAGAATGCGCATTAACTATTAACAAGGAACCTTATGATAAGTCTCTTTCCATTTAAATTTATATCCACTTCAAATCTGTAACCCGGATTTTTTTAAATGCACAATCTTTGCTCATGCTAATGCTACTGAATTGAAAGTATAAAAAAATCCTAACGACACAGATTTCAATCTAAGTATTTGAAATCCATCTGGAGATAGATGGTTGCAAAAAAATATATTTTGTATGAGATCTCATTAGCAGTTTCTGCTGAGATTGTATTTCTTTGTGCTTTTTTCTTCCTATTTTCAAGTGCAATTTTTGAGAAGTTTTGAAACCCCCAGATGCTCATTTGAACTTGATCTCAAGCTATTCAAGTTCAATCACTATCAGTAATGACGTCAAATGTGTGCATGCCACTGCATTAAATCTGCATTCCCATTGTTCCTTTGATCACATGGGAGTAAATTTGCGTGGGATATTCACACAATCTTATAATCTTATACAAGATTAAAAAGTAAGCCAAGACCACATAAGCAAGTCCTCCTTGGAAGGCTGTCTTTACTCTTCATTCAGACCGTCAAGTAGCCTACTGGTCTCCTCTCAAAGCGTTTGTCCAATAGGTAAGAAGATTTAAGCTGGGCAGATGCCTTAGGAAACCACCTCCAAGTGCATTGCAAAGAGAAGAGAAAGATTAAACCCTGCCCTAACATTACAAAACTGCTTTTCATAAAGCAGGTCTGTGAATGGCCATCTACCCAAACGCATTCTTTTACATCACGCTTAAAATGATCTGTTACATTTTCTGAACTCTAAATGGTTTTATTTGCACTTTTCCGCTGCACACTGGATTACAGGTTACTTATCTATTTATTTTAACACTTCTTTTCATTTCAGCCACATCTTCTCTTGTATTTGCGTTTTCAAGCCAGCCATTTGGAGCTACATGAGTAAAACACCCCATTCACACACACCAATATGCTCGCAACTGCAGACTGACAATTTGGTAATGGTTGTGGTATAGGCAATGCTAAACAGCTAGATGTCAAACTGACTTTATGCATTGCCAAATCTCCTTTTATATGCCTACAAATTACCTCCTAAAACCTGAAATTGCCAGGACAAAAAACAAGGCAAGTAAAGTCTTGTGCATAGAGACAGTCAGCAAGAACAATACTGTTCTGAGGCTGATAATTTCCTGTTTTTCGAGAATAAAGTGTGAGAAAGTGTTTCTTCAAAGCATCAGAGAAAAGGAAAAGATGGCATCTGTGGCTGGATTCAATGCCAAGACTCAGAAGCAGGCTGGGAAAATCTGATCGATGGTACGAAACGCGCAGGGCCCTGGGTTCCTTGTATGGAGCATCAGGACTCGGGTGCTGGCTGCCAGGAGAGCCTGCAGCAGAAAGGCTAGAACACAGCGCTCCAGCTGCACATCGAAACAAAATCCCACAGCTCTCTCCCTGAAGCAAGATCCCCTCAATGAAAATGCGATTAGTTTCTCCATTACCATCAAAAAAAGGGACCAATAATCTTGCTGTCTTCAAGTGTGGTAAGATTCTGAAGGCAGCAAAGAGATGAAAACCTAAGGCACATAAAGTACCAAGTGCTTGAGAGTTCTTCTTCTCTTGTTTAAGAAGTGCTATAATGGATGAATTAGCAATGCCAAATGCACTCTTTATACAAATTGCATGATTACCCTTTTTTGAAAGCTGTTATCTTCTGCCACTCATCGGCAAGGTGGCTGGAAATTCTCGTACAGAAGGAGCAGAAACTACTTCTCACCCAGCAAGACCTACTTCTGAAATAAGGCTGTGTTTGGAAAGAAACTAACTTACGCTTGATTCTGGAAAGAAAAGAAATACATAGCGACATGTGCTTCTCCAGAAACTACACAAACTAACTACACTTCTCTACCCTATAGAATTTCATTGGGAATCTCAGGAAAAAGGCTCTTAAGCTCCTTTAATATGACTTCAGCATCTCTCTTGCTTCCATTCTTCTGGAAGGCCATGCGAACAGGCTTGTTGACCACACTGTTGCAGTTCTAGTTGGGATACCGGAAAGTGACGGGCAAACATGAAGACACTGAGGTTCTGGGAAGGGAATTACATTTTTCTGAACCAAAGCAAAAGGAAAATAAGAAAGAGAAGAAAGTGGGTTTGGGAGGAAGTTGTGAGCCTGCACCACCATGTACTTAGATATTTAATTCCTGTGAACTGCAATGAGAATGAGCTGCCTTAGTAGGAACCAAGCACCTAAATATCTTTGTGGATCCGGCCTTTATCCTTCATTGCACCCTAAAACATTACTTACTCCTTTCCAATTTCCCTTTTGTAACTTTTTTTTTTTAAACAAATAAATGGCAGCAGAGATTCCCCTCAAAATCCTTTGGAATTGAAAAGAAAGCTACATGCCAGAAATGATAAAAAATCCTTACCTGTGCTGCATCCATCTCATTCAGCATCACAACAGATGAGCAGTTATAATCAAACACCAGCCTCCAGAAGTCTGCTATGGTGTTGGGCAGAGGGTGTTGGGTTACAATAAAGGCAGCAGGTTGCTTGTGGCTCTAACAAAAGAATAAGATTAGTTAAAAAAAATTCAATCAACTTTTATTCAAACGAATATTATACCCAGGAGGCTATAGCTAGGCAATCTGAGCCATTTAACCAGATTATAGAAATCACATATCCTTCTCCTTGTTATCGCTGTGCAATGAATGAATGTCTCATAATGGGATTCTTTTGCTCCCAATGAAGACATTTCATTAAAGGAGTGTTGCAAGAGCAGAGATTACCTAAATCAATTATTTATATTTTGAGATTCAGCAAATAATTCTAATGCTACTATTACTACTACTACTACTATTAATAATTAGCAAGAAAATAGCTGGAAGCAAAATGTTACCCTTTCTGCTGCTGTGGACTCTACAGAAGGGATTAGCCCCCCGTCTGCTATTGCTCCCTGGTGGCACAGTGCCACAGAAATGGCTCATCTGGATTTACAGACATCCTGTAAGAGCACATGGGGCAGTAGTCAGACTCTGGCAGACTGGCATTTAACAGCTGGTGCTATTCCTCCACCTCGAGAAAGCCCTCTGGCCTTGGCCTGCTGGGTCGCAAAGGGAGGGGAATGGTGCTCTCAGCCTCTGTGAGGCCGTGTTTGTGCGTGTCCACAAGGCACGCTGAGATCACGGAGGAATGGGGACCGGCTCAAAGCGTTACTGCCTTCCTGCTGCAGCAGGCATGCTTAGGTGAGCCTGTAACCTGCACAGCCTTCTGTGCTGTACATCTGCGAAGCAGACTTGCATCAAAAGGAACAATAATGCTCAGTAAAAGACAAATTAAGATTTTGATTTTACAATACATAAAGAACGAAATACCCAAAGTATTAAGATGACAGTTGTTAGGGCTTGCAATTTCTCCTCCCTGAGTCAGTTGGTGGTGGAAGTGCCAAGCGGACTACGCTGGGGATGGGAGAGCGTGCCGCGCACATTCTGCACCTCTCTAAGAAGTCTGCAGGGTGGCTGCAACATGCTTCTGAGTGCACGTGTGTGAGGAGGGTGATGGGAAATGAAGTAAAGAGATGGAAAAGGAAAACTGTTGGGAAACCACCAGTCTGCAATGGATTCTCCTCTTTCTTCCTACTTTTTATTTCAAACTTCGCAGCACCAATATGGATTTAAAGCTATGCTGTACAGACCAGGAGATGCAACAGAGTGGTACATAAAACGGAGAAACTTATCTCCTTCGTCCTCCCCTCCAAAACCAAACACTCGAGTTAAGCACATGGCAATGTTTCTGCTAATTTATTTCATTATGCACTGATACAGCGGACTGCATAACTGGCTAAGCAGTTGGTTGAAGGTATTATTTGTTTGTGGGGTTTGCCACAAAAGAAATACCTCCCAGCTGTTCCTTTGCTATAAGTGAGGAGCCAATCTCACTGTCCTGTTTTAAAGGGAAGGAAGCTGACACACTGAGATGTTAATTAGTCATTAAGAGAGTGTTGGTAAGATCTTGGAAAGAAAAGACTTCCATCTTTCTCCAAGACGTGCATTAAATACAAACCTATTAGCACTTCTATGGCATGAATTAGACATGTGGGTACAGTCCCTCTGCTTAAGAATCATGTTCAGTTGCTTTAGGGGAAGGAGAGGGACAGCACTTTACCTTTCTTCTTAACAAGGTGTTTTGCTGATGCAAATGTGACACTGAATGGTTGTCACAGCAAAGACACTAGGGTCTGTTAACTTGTGAGGAACGGAGGCCATGAAGAGAAAAGGTCAGGAGTCCTGCAATCTCCTGGGTAGAATTTCTGTCCTCTGTGGACAACACAGAGGCCCCTTTGGCCCTGCTCTCAGAGAAGGTTTTGCTCAAAACCAGATAGCGTGTAGGCAAATACTTTCCTTCTTTCAATTGAGTGACATTCATCCTTATTAAAAAACTGCTTCAAATGAACCACAAAAGGATGGAGCTGAGTGCCTGGACTGGGTAGTGGTAGGTACTGGTACTCCCTAACTGGTATTCCTGGGAACTGACTGGCATGGGTATTCCCAAAAGCTAACTCAAGGCACAGGAGGCCAGTTTCTTTGGGCTCTGCAATCAACAGACTGAGACAGTCTTCAGCATAGTTCAAACTGGTATCCCAGAAAAAGTGCCTCATCCTCTGAGAGACCCTCTCTCCTCCAGAGCCCCACTTCTTCCATCACAACCTTCATGCAAAATGCAAGGCAACCTGCAACTCAAGTAAGAATTGGGAAAGAAGTTAAAAAAAAAAAAGATGAACATGAGAAACCTGTAAGGGAGTAGTAAATAAAACAATCATCAGCACTGTGGGTCTGTGAGGCCAAGTGTTCCCTGGCACATGCCAATCTTCACATGAGGGAAGAACAAACGCTAGTTCAAGCCTAGACGGGACGGACGGTCTCTTGCAGAGTCCACGCTCAGTACAAAACTGCAGATATTAAGCGACTGGAAAACGGAAAGAATTGCAAGGTCTGTCCCCAGCAGGAACAGACTAGGAAGATTTGGGATTTAGGCTGTTACATGACTATGTCAAGAGCTACTGATTCCTCTATGAAAGGATAAAGGAGTGTCAGAGAACATCCTAGGTGGCTGAACTCCAGTGACAGGTGAAACATCTCCTTACATAAAAAATATTAATTGGCAGGAATTTTGTAGGGAAGGCACAAGTATCAGCAAAGTGCTTTGAGGTAATGCAGGCTAAAATGTGCAAACACGTTCACAAGCTCTGAGAAATCAGAGAAGAAATGATTGTGCTTTGGCAGATTTGCCAAAGCACAAAACACATTGAAAAAAAAGGTTCCTCAGGTACATTTGCAATGAAAGCATCACAGCCTTTTTGAAAAAAATCCAAAAGCCATTCCATGAACATTTGACTTAACCTCTTAAACACAGGAGTATCACTGTTCCCCGAGGAATGAAGGACCAAACAAAAAAGACTGATCCTATTCAACATTGCTCAGAAAAAACGATGACACTTCACCCTACATCATATTTACACCTACTCCAGCTATAATAATTAGTGGCTTTTATAGCCACTGTGGCTGTGTCCAAAGGCAGTTAGACATCAGAGTAAAAAGAAACCATTGACATAATTCACCATACACCAATGACCTGCACTGCTAGATTCCAGCCTATAAACAAAACAAGCGAAAATGTCTTCACACAGATTCACATCAGCTTAACTCATATCCTTCAGCCTTAAAGTGTTTTGCACATCCGATCCCTGCACTCCCATAGTCTTAACTGCATAGGCTCAAATAAATCACCTGCGCCACACTGCAAACTATTCTTTTCAAAAAGCTGCCCTGGCAGTTCCTCCTGGTGAACATTTCTCTTCCAACTTACATATCAATTAGTGCACGGGAAGAGTTGTCCCACCACTTCTTTGTCCATCTGCCCTTCTAAGATGTAACACTAGACTGCATGCTGATGGTCATCTTAGGCAAAAATTTTCCATCAATGTGAAGCAAAACTACAAGGTGTTGTGATAAACCATAGTCTACATGACCCATTTCTAGATTTCTGTGAAGGAGACAAAATTCATACGGCTTTTCTCTGGTTTTGAGATGCCAGCCCTAGAAATGGCAGGAAAAAAATGCCTTTTGTTTTGGATTCATTTCTCCCAGAAAAAAAAAACAAAAACAAAAACAAAACCCTGAGAATGAACGGACTCAATGCAAACTAGGACCAGTGTGGACTCTACAGTGCTGCTTACATCCATGAGTGCAGCATTGATGTAGTTACTTGATTCACCATCCACAGAGATGAGGAACGGTAGGCACCGGTCCAAGGGCAACACATCCATGCAGCGGTTCTTGTCATGGTTCCTTGGCAGAAGCCCAATGCTACAGTCTTCTGGTCGAACACGTGGCGTCACGATATTGAGAGTCTGTGGAACGGGGAGGGAAGAAGGGAAAGACAGTCAGATACAGGCTGAATATCTAGGAATTTACTGCCAAAAAGGATGCCCTCTACATAGCAAGCTTATTTTAAAGCTATTTAGAATAGTAGATCTTTGGGATCCCAGAAAATAGGAAAAAGAATAAGCACTAAGGAGCTTGTTGCTGTTACAATATATGAAGTTTTGCATGTCCTCCTGCAGTGCTCTTCCAAACACCACAAGTCTTGCTAAAATTGAGGGCACTAAACACCTTCTAAGAGCTCTTTTTTTCCCCTTAGGGATATCATCTACAGAAGTTTTAACAAATCCCAGCTCCAAAACCCCACAGCAGTTAGATAACATGTTTCTGCTCCTTCCTAGAGACAGGAAATAGCTGTCACAGATACTAATTGCAGCTTTGAACCAGACACTGACTTCCTTGTGTTTATACCATCTCTAGGGTGGAAGCACACACCCTTCTCCCTCTTTGGTGGGATCCTGTGCAGAAGTATGGTCAGTATTGACCTGGTCTACCCAGAAGGCAAGGCTGGGTTCAAACTCTTTGGTGGTTTCCAGTTGATTTATCTTAACAATAGATATAAAAAAAATAATAAACTTGTCTTTTTTTTTTAATAGGAGACAGTTAAGCTGTTGCCTATATTATTTAGATTGCTGCTTTACTTTTGGAGAGACGCATAGGATGCTTCCCTTACCTAGTCATACCACATCTCTGGGGTCTGGCTGTCAGTCTTTTATCCTTTTCTAAGTCTTTCCCACAGCCTGATGGAATGTGTTTCTTTAAATCTAGTTTTCTTCTGGGTTAACCATTGTGGAGGCCTCCTGATAAACTGGTCCAGGGAGCTTAGCAGGGGTCAGGAACAGCAAATCATAGTGAATGCATCTTAACGCTGTCTCTTAACAGATCGGGGTGATCTGATGTTATTCTACTTTTACTTGTCATTTGTCCTTTCCTGAATCAATCCCATGCATTAATAGAGTGAATTCCTTTGCAACCATCAGATGAACACAAAAAAAATGTAGGGTCTAAAGATTCTTGCATAGAGCTTGACTTCTGCCACAGAGAAATTATGAATGAAAAAATGAGTACGGTCAAACAATCTGATATGCAAGAATGCATAAAGTGGAGAATTGAAATAATATTGCTGCTCTGTATTATGTAGGCTGCATGTAGAAGTCCTTTTGTCCAGAAACGGAAAGCAGGCAGCGTCTGGAAGAGGGAATGTGAAATCACAAACCTCTGACAGTGCAAATGAGTAGGCAGGTGACGTGCTGGTGATTTACCCCTCTACTTTATGTCCTTCCTCTCTCTCCCTTGTTTTTGTGCTTAATCAGATTCTAAAAGCTCTCCTAACCACAGTTGCTGTACGTTCGGGCAATGTGTACATGAGGAAACCACCTAGTCTTAGCTACAGACCAGCGGGACCAACATAATACAGATTACTAACAGACCTATAGTTAGATCAACTGGTTCATAAAAATTGTAGCAAGAGATAACGTGCTCCGCATTGAATCCAGGTATTTAGGGCTGAAGAACGCTCTAAGCTAAAATCCTGTAAAAATAGCAATCTACAACTAGACAGAGAACGAACTTCTTATGCAAACTACCGAGGAGCTTTTCCTTCCCACAGGAGCTGCCAGCCCCTGGCAGCTCAAAAGAACAAGCACACAAGTGACAAATATTGTCTCATACCATGACAAAATAGGCACAGCCAGTGGAGTCTTTTTTTTTTTTTCAATAGCATAATAGCATTTGACAAAGTTAGACTTTAGTTCCTTCATGCCAGGCGTCCAGAACCAGAAACACTTTCACAGATCTGATATCACTTGATAAAATCAGATTTTTTTACTTGAATTACCATTAGTTTGGATCCACAATTTCTTTCTCACTATACCAACCCTGATGTTTTGCTGTACAGTTTCAAATTAAAAGAATATATATATATACATCCCTTTGTATAGAGAGAGAGGAAAAGCTAGGGAGCAGCAGAGCGATCTGACCCACACTGAGGCTTCCAGAAGTCATTACACCTCTGGAGAAGAAACTTTGCTGAGGGATGAGGGACATCTACAGTTAGAGGGATACCCACCTTTTAACCCTTGACCAAGAACAGCCTTAATAAGTAGCAGGGCTCTCCTTCTCCTTCCATTCCAATTCACCTTGCCCCAGATTTGTCACAATATTATATTTTTCCACATATAAACTGGAGCTAGTTGAAAATCCTGAAGGGATTTACAAATGCCTCAGGAATAAGAGTGGAAAGTTCAGTTCACTGTTCTGGAGGGTGAGTCCTTTCCTGTGCAAGAGGTACAGCTGCACAGGGGCTCACGGCCACTGTGTGCTAAGCCTCGGTTTTTTAGGATGGGATGAGGAACGGTGTCAGCAAAAGACGGAGCAGTCCCTGTTTCATCACTTGCCCCCGGCAAACCGCACTACTCCACTAGTTGTGAGTTTTACTCTATGTCACTTCACTTCTGGCCACCAGGTATTTGTGAAAAAGTACATAGTGAACTAAGGGTTTCAGTTTGTTGAAAATTAGTACTGGAAAAAGTAATGCTCACAGCTTGCTTTCTCGTGTGTGAAAGGACATTAGCAAGTTGAATGACTAGTCAGGACTCGGGAAGAGCATAGAAGCCAAGAGGCAGTTAATAAGGGTCCTTGAGGCAAAAATGCTTCTGCATATATTACAGAAGTAAATGAACAACAACATATTTGTTGAAATGAGAAAGTCCAATGTTATCTGTGAAAATGAATACCCTTGCTCTGTTGAAGAGATGGGGGAATTTTTCTCTGCCAAAGGCTGAAAAGTCTGCGCTTAAACATGAACCTCAACCTGATCCAGCAGTAACACAATAAAAATCACCTGAAGTCAGACCCTGGCTCAGTGTCCCCCTTCTCTGTTCTATTGGAAATTGTCAAAGAAGAAGAAGAAGAAGAAATTAGTTAAGCACACATTTAATATACCAACGGCAATGACCGAGACAGATGTAAGAAATTACCTGAAATTCATCTTTTATCTGGCTGGAATTAGTCTGTGGATCTAGTCTGCTGATGTTGTAATATATGGATCTGAACTCACAAACTGGAATGGCCGTGTTGCCACAGAGACAGGCCTCCAAAATGGCATCATGGACAAACACATACTGCTCCTGGACAGTGGAGGGGACAAGACATTAAACTTATATTTTCAACACAGATCATGAAATACCACAGGCAGGTTAGGTAACCTAGGCTGCCTTTTTTCCTTTATGCCTGATATGCATATCTGGCTCTGTTTCATGTGCAAATTACACAGTGTGCTATGTGACAGCTTTCAGAGCATATTTCATCCATCATTGAACATGAAGCCTTGTATTCCTTTCAAATTTAAAAGCATGATGTGAAGTCACCAGTCTCTGGATGCTGGGGCAAAATGGGGATGAGCTCGGGAGGAAATCAGCGTGTGAAGCTTTTGTGTTCACAAGCGCGAGTCAACGCTTCCTGCGTTGCCGGGAATGGACTATGGCTAGTGCATATTATAACACTAGCCACAGTAACAACTGTACTAACAGGTCTACTCTGTCTATCTTTTCAAACTGACTTTTGGAGACTCCTGGAATTCTGTGTGAAGTTCTTTCCTGGAACGACGTATGAGATATGAAGCCGAGTTAAAAGTCCTGCTCTGTTCCAGGCTATTGCCTTGACCCCCAGGAAAGGAAGCTATTAAAGCACATACGTAAAACTTCTGTAGTACGAGAACAGCTCCCCAGAAGTCTGTGCAGCTATGAAACGTATGTGACGGAGCAGCTTGCTTAATCTGAACCCCAAAGCTTAAATCAAGGACGTTTCACTCATTTCTTAAGCTTACCACTGATATCAAATGGTACTATCTTAGTCTGCAATATACCTATGAAGGAGACAGGAGAGGATTCTCGACTGAGATTTTTTTGTAACGTGAATACAGAATTAAACAGCAATGCCAAAACCTGAAAGTCAAGATTTGCCCTGCTGTCTTGGAGGCATTTAGGAGATGCCCGTGAACGCGATTCAGGGTACATCTGGCCATGGTTAATCACAGACAGTTCTGTATAATCACGTCACAGTGGAAGCAAGCCTTGACTTAATGAATTGCTGGGCTCCTGGAGAGCCGAGAAGCTGACAGGAAAGCAGTACATTGTAAGAAGAGATCTGCTGGCACCTACCTCTGTCTGTACCAAATTGACCCTTTGGGAGCGCAGCTCTCGCACACAGTTAAATATATCTACCACGCCTTCGTTCTCTGCCATGTCAAGCATGATGTCAATGGCAATAAAGCACCCTGTTCTCCCGGCCCCAGCACTAAAAAAAGAAAAAAATAATAATGAGGGCCTGCATGATCAATGGACCGTGGAGAGGCAGGGCCTTGAGGAGGAGAAAATAACTGTAGCGCAGACACAGCTGTCTTCTTTTGGAAACTGCTCCTCTCTCTAATGGGTTGATTTTTGTGTGTGGCTAAATCAGCTTAGGATTTAAGAGAACGAGCTGAAATATTTCTTCAAAGAGGAAAGGACCTAGGCAGCAGGGAGAAAAAAAAATGTTTTCTTGAACATTAACAGAAAAATTATCTGAAGAAAATATTCATCTTGATTTTACAGGCCTGTTCAGCTGCACATCGGTCATCTCGAAGGTACCGGAGAGCAGCCTCCAGGTTGCAAATAGATACAATTCCAGAAAAAAGTTTTTCAAAGGTTTTTCTTTTTTTTTCCTCATGGGCTTTTTAGAAAGCACACACATTTACCCAGCCGGGCATGATGAAAGATGCTCAGTCCTCCACCTCAAACATCTCTTTTCCTCTTTTCAGCAGAGAGCTCCTGGGTCCAGGAAAGAGTAATTTCAAGGGGCAGGTTGTAAAATTGTAGAGAAGGGAGCTCAAGACTACTAGAAAAATTCATTTCAGAACCCCCTGCTGCTTGAGAGAACTGGGCCGTCTCCTACTCTGCTGTCAGTGTGTTCCACTGTGTTGTCATCGTGTCCCCCTTCCCTCCTGGGAAATCAGCTGAGCTGTTTAGGTGGGAAGGACAGAGAGGGTAGTCTTCACACTACTCTGGAGGAAGAAGGAAGAAGGAAAACTCAGCTAAAAGCAGGGAAACTTCGGTTGCATGAAACTCCAGCAGAGCCGAAAGCAAGGAGATATGAATGACCATAAATTAATGGACCAGATTAATCAACTGCTGAATAGAGAGAAGATATTTTTCATTTGCAGAATTTTAATGAATAAGTGGCATTTCCTCTCCCTTTGTCTCTCAGCTTTTCAGAATTTTAACAAATAGTTATAACATTTCTATATTTAGAGGACCCTGGCACTTTATAAATATCGAACCATAGCATTACCCAGCAAGGCATTGGTAGGGAGAATTTGGTAATTACTACTTAAAGCAAGTCATTAAAAGTTGAAAGCAGATAAATAACAGAGAGGAAGTGGCATTTATTCATTAAAATGTGAAGGATGAAAAATTTCTCCTTGCTTTCTGGGTGACGAGGAATCCTTCCAAGGCCAGACCCATGTCACAGCTCCAAGAAAGCAAATTCAAGGCCTAAGCTGTGGAAGAATTCTGTTCAGCCAGCTCCTGCGGCTTAGCTGAATTTTATTATAAAGCTGTTTCACTGCTTGCTGAAAAAATAGACTGTAAAAAAAAAGATAAGATTTACTAGATTTTCCTTTTTAAAGTGGTTTTGGGATGTATTCTCTCTCTTCTCCTGATCCCACAGCCTGGCACTACAAGGTAACTGGCAGTGCGTTGATCCGGGGTGAGATTTTGGGACAGCCAACTCTGCTTTCCAGGCTCGTGCTCCATCCCCATCTCCTCTGCAGGACCAACGCACTTAGCTGTGGTCACAGCACTGCAGAAGCAGCTGCTACAAACTCAAACTTTGCTTTGGCAGCAATGTCTTTCTTGGCATTTGAGGTCGTAAAATAATAAGCATATACTTCACGGGTGGGTTACAAAAGCAATTGTTTTCACTGTGAAGCTGAGGGAAAGATGTTTATTCACCTCCAACGCTCACTAGTGGAGTAAATTCTTTCTGAGGTCCATCACCTCCTTCTGATGCACACTGTATCCTCCTCAAAACAGATCATATAATCTACTGATTCAATTCAGCATAAGTCCTCTCCCAAACTTTTCTTATGCTGCAAATTGATGCAAAAACCTGATAATTATTAGGACAGTTCAAATCCAGAGACCTGCGCTCCCTTCCTGGCTCTGACACCAGTTTGTGCACGTGTCTCTGCTCTCATACCATCATTAGCATGTCTGATTGCATTTCAGATTGGTAGTTCTTCATGTCAGGGGCACTCTCCTACATATTTATATAGTGCCTTGCACAGTAGGGTTTTAAGTTCAGCTGGGAAAAGGCAGTGCAGAAGAGCCCACAACAGTAATAGCAGTAGTCTGCATTAGCAAGGGTGCAATTCCACAGACTCAATTTTCACAGTTGTAAAAAAAGCAGTTTTCCTCCATCATTCTCCTTTCATTTACAAGCTGGGAGGCACTGAGCAGATTTTCAGGCTGAAATTCCCCTTCTAGACCCTGGGCTTGGAAGAAGCTAAGACGCACAATGGATGGCATCTACCCCTAGAGCTACATTTCAGATGAGACTGTCGATCCTGGTGCAAAGCAAAAGTGCAGTGCTCATGGGCACAGAAAGGCAAAGTTGCTTCAAAGTCCCCTGTTGGCAGCCCCGCTTTTTTTGTAGCCATTGTCCGTTTTGCCATGGGAGGTTTACTACAAATAATGACCCAGATGGCTGTCCCAGCGATTCACCATTTTTCCTAGCCCTGCTATGAGCATCAAAGAGTGTATAGGCCACCAGAAAATTTTCTACATTCAAACAGCCCTCTCCAACCTACTTGTATCATCTCCAGTTCATGCCAGCTAAGCTCCAGAGCTTGGAACAGAGAACCTGGTTCCACTCTGTTTCCTTGTGAGATAAAATATACCCTTAAACAAACAAGATGTAGTTGGTCATTGCAAGATTAGAAAAGAAAGGAAAAGAGCTAATGGAGCGAAAGCTAAAACAAACTGCTCACGTACCTGCAGTGCACAACAATAGGTCCCGCTTCGGGGGGATTGAGAAACTTCACTTGTCGAACGAAGCCCAAGAGACCTGTAGCATAGCAGGGAACGCCGTGGTCTGGCCAGCTGGTAAAGTGGAACTGCCGAATCTCTCGGATCTCATGGTAGCCTTTCTGAGGAGACAACACAGCCACTGTTTTAACTCTGTCAGGTTGCAATCAGCCTACTCTGATCCTTGCTCCCTTCTCTCGTGTTGAGGGCCGAATATGCATTTAGATCTAATTATGCACAGGAACGTGTCATATACTGCTTTTCACTCTGAGAGACTTCAAGGTAAAAGAGCAAGAGACAGCATCTCCAATTACAAATGAAGTGGGAAACATAAAGCTGAGGACTTGGAAGGTGAACACCAGCTCCCTAGTCGAACTTGTCCTAGAGTTCAATACCAGCTGAGTAGGAACTTTAGAAGGTGACTTTAGTCCCAGCATACCAGGGCTGCGCTTACTCACAGTCTCCTTTGGTGATATTTCCAGAACCACTATCAAGTCACTCTCTCAAATCCTTTTCGATACAGTGACTATTAATGCTAATTGAAAGGTGTTGAAGCAACAGACTGGGGAATTAAAATCTGCAGAGTAGGTGTGTCTTGTGCAACAGCAGATTTTCTGCTACCTATTGTCAAAAAATCTTAGCTTGAGATTACAGCTAGTGATGAAATGGGCCAAAACTGGTACCCAGACCCATCTCTTGGCCTTTCTGGTGAGACCAGGTTATTGCTACACCATGTGTATATGCCACATAAAGGGTAACAAAGAGGTGTTCAGTTAGCTACAGCATTTTCCTACACAGAAAATGTATATGGAATCCAGTGTCAGAAGGAGTCTAATGTCAAGTCCTCTGACCTGTCAGCTTTTGATGTTGGCATTTCTTACCAAGTTCCTCAGTGGTTTAACAAAATACAGAGCTGGTATATTAGAAAACTGGAACAATATTCCCAGTGTGGCTAAACTGAGGTTCACTCAGTGAGGATTTCTGAAAAGCTTTAAAACAACTTACTGAATGTTTGCACTTTGATTTGGACAGACCTGGAATACCCTGTCATTTAGACTTTCAATTTCTAATAAAATATAACAAAAATCTTCCAAATCCCACAGATTTGGGGATAAACCTTATAGTCAAGCCTTTATTATAATTTTTCCCCATCAGAAAGGGACCCTACCTCGCATCCGGTTTAATGGGTACCTTTTGTCATCTGTAATTTGCCACTGTGAAAGAGCACAGTTATTATTCATGGCATGTTGTCAGCTACCCGTAGGCTTTTGGATGCACTTAAACTTTATGCACTGCGGATTCTACCTTTGTGCCCACATCTAGATATTCATACAAAATCATTTGTCCAAAACTGGAAGCTACATCAAAAGTGTAGGTTTTTGGAGTGAAACCTATGCAAATATTAACAGCTTCCATCTCCAAAAGGATTCTGCGTATCTTTCCCAGAGTCCACATTTCAGGCGACAAATGAAGTATTGTATCAGGATTTCAGCTGACTAGAGATTTCTTTACCTTTTGTACAGTAAACGTGCGTATAACATACTCTGCCAATGGTTCTGTCTCAATTAATGTGACTTTAATATCTCCATACACTTCTGTGTCATCTGGCCAGTACCGAACACACTTTACCTGGGGATACAAAGAAAATATTGAAAGGAAATAGCTCAAGTTGAGTCAGCACTGACCTACACTTTACTCCACTTTCAAGCTCAAGCTCAACACAAATTGGATTTTCCCCTGGTGTTCAGACCATGTAAAAATCCAGTGTATAAGTGAGCTCTAAAGTTCTCTACCACAGAGAGAAACTACAGGATATATTTTCAGTTTCCTCGGTAGTGAATATCAATGCAAAGGATTCATTTAGCTTTTCTTCTTTGACCCTATCTTCCTTAAATTGCCATACATATATATATATATATATAAAAGGTTTATAAAATATAATATCCATATATCAAGTTTACAGACTACCTGGCAGTCACTATCACCATCCTTCTGACTTAAAATCAATACTTTTCTAATAATTCTGTAATTCTGAACTCTCTGTTTAGCTACAGAATTTCAGTTCACAGCAATTGTGTGATGCTTGTTGATACATTACATTTGTTTGACTTTAAGCTTTTCTCATCAGACGTGGACACAAATTTGACATTTTACCAGGCGTGACACGCCTGAGCTGAGGCTCAAGAAAGAAGCCTCATGACCATGTAAATACATCCCAAGCTTAGCTACTTCTAGAAGTCATGTGCAAAACTAATAGTAGAAATTCAAGTCAGGGCTGTGAAGCTCTAGAAGGGCTATTTAGGCTTACAAGGACTATCAAGTTATTAACTGCTGTAGTACAAAAGACTGGAACAGCACCTAAAAGCTAAGTCAATTTGCTACTGAAAGGCAGGTTACATATTTCAGTCTCAGTCATAGTCAGAAAGGTTTTAATGAATATAAAAATAACAATTAACATAAATTCTTTTCACAGAGAGGAACTGATCTCAAACTGAAGTGTCAGTAGACGTTAAAATACACGGAATAAATAACAACAAATCAACAGGACCAGCTGGCATTCAACCATGAGATCTGAAGGAAAGCATATATGAAACTGCTGAATTACTAATGGCTGTGAGTAATCCATCACCTAAATCTGTCCTAGTACCAAAGGAATGGGAGGTGTCAAACTTCATGACAGAATTTCAAAGTGCTCCAGTCTCCGGCTGAGAACGTTCCTAACCTGAAGACTACTAGAAGTGAGGACAATATGCTGGGGGAAGCATTTTTTTCTTATTCCCTAAAGTCAGTGGTGGTCAGCCTATGCCTCTTGCATTGTTCACATTCACTCCCATCCTGGGCTTTGGCAATTGCCCTGTGCTGCCACAGGAGTTTCTGTTTCAGTTGAATCACAGAAAGTGAACCTGTGCGTGCTGGGGTGGCCAACATTGGCAGGTGGCCCCAGGTTCCAGCTGTACATGGTCTCATTCTACCCCGGAACAGTGATACTCTGAACTTTTCAGAAGCTCTAGGCTTTGAAGTGTCATGTAAAGGGCTCTTTTGATCAGGTTCAACACAAGTCACATGTCCTTGCCCCTCCGGAATTTTGTGGGTAGAGAAGTATTAAAACCATACAGGTAAAGAATAATTATTACAGAAGTACATTTTTCTCTATGTAGTGAAAAAGGAAACAGCTCCTCAGCTAGCATAAATTTGTATAATTCTACTGAAGTCAAGACTTACAGCAGGAACAAGAGCCTTATTAGTCTGGAAAGGAAGCATCTAAGTATTACAAAATCTAGCATTTTACAGAAGAACCCCGAGTGGTATAATTTATTCCCTCACTCCTCAAACTACAACAAACAAGAGGCATTTCCCTCCCTGAGCATGCCTGGAACATGCCCAGCACTGGTTTGGCTTTACCTGTTGGGAAAACGGCATCCTTACCCTGCCGACTTCCACTAAGTTGGTGACCATGACAACACTTGCAGAGTTCTCTTGCCAAATCATTCTCCAGAAATCCTTCACTGTCTCTTGCATTGGCCCTGGGGCAGGAGAAAAGACAAAAGGACATGTTGAGAAAGCGTATTGAATGCCAGTAATCTGTTTCAGTTGTTCGCGATCCATTGCTGGGTTCCCGTAAAGTCCCACTCCTCCCTTCAGAGTATCCCTCTATGCTTCAGGGTTACAGATAGGCAACGGCATTGGAGCTCTTTAAGAAATTAGACACCTCATCCTTCCTGGCTTGGGGATTTTAAGGTTGTTGTGTGGTGGAAACAGAGATGCTGGCTGTATCATAAATAGTGGAGACAGCTCCAAAAGATAATCATGTACAAAGAATGAGACATGGATGCACCCTAGTGACACTGTAATTACAGCTGTGCTGAGATGTGTACTTGAAGCAGGACTAAAATTCCTCCACTTTACACTTTAATATTTACTAATTCTGGCAGAGGAAACGTGTAGAAAGGAGCCCCTTTCTACAGTTCCCCCAGAGAGAAAATTTCAGGCTCCAGCAGCCAAACAGTTAGTACTCCCAGGAGGTTTATTAGACTAGTGCTTCTCTCTAGTCCCTCCTCTCTTCTACATCATAGACAAAATCCTCCCACAGATCCCTTTTCCCATTCTGCCCGTGTTGCATCCTCCTCGTTCTTTGTCCAGCTGCATTCCCTCTACCCGTGTATCTGCAGTTTTATTCTAATATGTTACTTTTCTCCTTCGACAGAGACAAGACAGAGAGCAAGTCATGAAGCAGAATCTAAGCACTGGGTCATTTATGTGAAAGTCACATCTGCAGGGAAGGAATGTATCGAGGTGAGGACAAATAATGGTAGGGGAAGGGGTCATGGCATGACTTTGCCTAGTGATGGAGGAAAATGTCATCCTAGTGTAACTAGCACCACGGTCATTAGACATCTACATGGATGCACAAAGGACGCATCATAAATTGCACAGCTACCTCTAACTCTCTAGGCTGTTTGGGTGCCTGTAGCTGAGGTTTTATGTTCAAGTGCTTTAAATCTCTCCAAACATCCTACGTCCTTCCGTTTTGTATACTTATACCACCCTTAAGTTTTCAGGCGGTCCCCAGAAGAGAAGATGTCACCCTATGAACAGGTCTCACATCAATTCAAAACAGCAGTGGTTTTAATAAATATTTACATATGCAAGAATGAACTTGCCTTGAGTTGCAATGTAATGACGAGGCCGGTGGTATCCCTGGAAAAAAATGAAAATACGTGAAGGTTTGTGAGATCACAAGTATGCATGTTATACTTTCCAACAACTGTTGCACACTTAACAATGTACTAAAACCAGCAAATGAACAGGTGAAGATAAGCACCTGTGTTACCCTTTGGGATTACAAGCGATGGTACCTTGCTTCGGCTGAATATTTAAAAAAAAACAACAACAACAACATAAAATTGGAGGATTTTATTCTACCAAAGAGAAAACAGGAATGAGGCAGTTTTCTCTATTTCCTCAAAGTCCTATAACTAACCTGTTGGCAACTCTGAAAACAAACATGCAAAAAGCTGCACCTACTGGTTTGAAAAACATATCAGGTGTGCATTTGCCACTGTTTGAAAATGATGAATGTCAACACTATGCAGTTTTATTAAGTGTATTCATTAGTTTCTTTCATTAAAGAAGCTCTTCTAAATGTTGTTAAACACATTAGGAGATGTGTACAAAATTACGCATTTTGTACACATTAGGAGATGTGTACAAAATAATGCATGCTCATTTGACCACTCCACATGTATCTGGAAAGCTTTTTTAATGCTATTTTGTAACATGTGAAAAAAGTATATACCAATCCGTTTACAAGCTTACTGCACTGCACCTTCGTATGCAGTCAGTAAGTCTCAGATATCTGTTAACGTCATTGTGATGGGCTGATACTGATTTCCACATCTGTTGTGCACTTATCCCACATTTCACTTATGTTTGCAGATCCGTCAAGCACAGGAAATCTCCATGTATCTAGATCGGTCAGAAAGAATAAACTGGAGACCAAGAACCTGCTCTCTCTGTCACAGCACAAGGTTTGTATAGTGTTCATCTGTCATTCATATCAAATCAACAGTCAGTCCCTATCTAAGATGCCCCAAATCCACAAGCGGACTTGTCAGCAGGAGCCTTTGTCATATAGGTAGTGTCCACAAGCCTTACGTCTATGTAGTTGGCATTTATGTAGTCAGAGTGAGGGTCCCCATCCAGCAGCTGCAATCTCACCCTTGAGTGATCATCTGAAAGAAGGAAAGAAAAATACTAACAGTAGTGGTAAAAAGGAGTTTGTAGGTGCTTTATTTCATCTGCTGATTCTTGCAAGCAGTTAATCGAGAACTTAAAATAAGATGAGAATACATCAGAGCTATTCCTATTCTACCTGCCCTTCCTTTTGGATTTAAGATGTCATGTTTAGACACTTAGGTTACTGCTCGTTCATACTCAATGTTCATTATACACTACTGTCACTGAAATCTATTGTAAGAGCTTTTACATAGACTATAAATATTGCTTAGTTTGGAGGGTCTCAGGACAGAGCTCAGTAGGGAAGTATCTCCACCACAAAAGCCAAAAAGCCATCTTCACACCTGGAAATAACAGCCTCCCTGGCTTGCTCAGAGCTACGGAAACTGAGGCAAGAGCTACAACAGTCAAGATCAGGCTAAAAATAAGTAGGTCATGAAGATGTATGAGAGATTAAATAGGATAAAATGGCAAATAAAATCCTGCAAACATCAAATGAGGTAACCCAGAAAAATGAAAGGAAGTACCAAAGCAAATCGAAGGAATGATCGTTTATACAAAGCACAGAACTGACTGCAGTAAAACGGCACAGAGATGTAAAAGATATATTAAAAAAAAAAAAAAAGTTAGGGCTGTTCACATTTTTGAGAACATACAAAGTTGCTCTAGATAAGGCAATAAAATAACAGATATCAGTCATTTCATCTGGCAGCATGCTCTGCAGTTCAGATGTAGAAAGAAACCACCCCAGGGGGCAGATTAGGGCATAATTTTCCACCAAGGGGTCCATCTCTGGTACGGCTAGTGCCAGTTTTGGTCAAAGACGATGCTTGGCTAGCTCTTCTGGCGATCTCATTTGGTCAGGCAATTCCAGCACTGGTATGCAATTAATTGCACAGCTATTCTCTAAGGACCAATTGCTTGGCAAAGACTGCCAGTTTCCAGAGCCCACTGCTAGGCACACTAGCTTCCTTTTGAAAGGATTTTTTAAGAGCTGTAACACAGATTTCATTGATTTTACTTTCTCTATACTAGTGATGCAGGCTGCTGCTCCCAGTCAGTAAAACATTAATGTTTAGAAGCACTTTGTAAAATATGGACCTCAGCACAATTTGCACTCAATTAAAAAGAATCATAGCAATGAAACATGAGAATGTGAGGTCTGATTCTGCTGTAAATAAGTTAAAAAGGGGTTTCATAATGACTTAAATAAATGTAGAATCAGATAATAATTGTGAAGACTGATGTGCTCACAGTTCTGAAAGCCAAGATTTGAATGTATTAAATACTCATTTGCTCATGTAAAACAATGATTCTCATATTCTGTTCATTCTTTGGGTGAGGTTTTCACACCAAAAATTACAACCACATTGTTGTCTTTATCAAACGTCATATTTGCATTCAGAAATGATTACACAGGTGAATCCATCATAGGCTCCATTATATTTGTATTCATAAATACAACTTTTGTAAATGCATTGAGAGCAGGTATATTTCTCAAAGTGCCAATCCTGTTCCCAGCTCTAGATGATTACCTGCGCCCAAGGCAATCGTACTAGGAATTTCAGTAAGTCAGGTGGTTAGACAGAGAACAAAAGAATTTATACTTAGAGCAGTTCTCAAAGACAGACAAAGAGCTGATTAAACTGGACGTATATAAAATACACAAAACCTCCTGCAGACACTTGCAATTCAAAGCAGGAAACCAAGCTAGTTAAGAATCACATAGAACAAAAGAAAAAAGAAAAAAAAAACCCTAAAGCTGATGGTTGGGAGAGGGAACATTTACTAATTCTTCTTGTGATGCCACCAGATGAGAAGGTTAGGGAACTCTAACGTATTGCAATCACGTAACTGGAAAGTGATGACACCAAAAAAGGCCTTATGACAGGTGAGAAGAGTCTCAAGTGGACTCAAGTCAACTCTAAAGTGGCACAAAGACACTGTCTACAGGTGGTGTGCAGCTCAGGTGCGTTGACTAGCCCTCAAGGAAGAACCTATGTCTCTTCACTTAACAGATACCCAAATCATAGGTTAAATGTCACCGAAAGACTTGAGAAGGAGACTGTAGAAGAAGTCTATGCACTTAAGAGGAGGTCTATATATCCAAGGCAAGTAGGGAAAAAGAAAAGATGCTCTGTAGCTATAAAAACAGCTTTTTCCCTTTAAGCCACATATGGTTATTCTATCTGTGAAGGACAGTAAATGATGAAGACACAACCATTAGAAATGAATGACATTTAATAGAAAAGAGATATTTAGGCTTAGGTCCAATTATATTTTGGGACCAAGTGGAATATACTTTCATCTGAACTTTGCTTCAGGAGGACAGAACGTATAATATTTCACAGCACATTTTACAAAAATAAAATTACTTCCTACGGGAGATTTATTTCACTTGTAAGTGTAAACAGTGCAGCAGAAACCCTCTGTATGTATAGTCAGCACACCGAGTATTAACAATGACTTAATGGAGCCTTCAACCTCGTTCATATGTTTAGGAGTATAGGCTAGATAAAAGTTCTTGAAATAACCTCTAATGTAAATCACTTTTCCCTGAAAACTTGGAAATTTATTTGAATTCCTTTTTTTAGATGGAGAAGAGGAAAAACAATGCATCTTATTATGCTAAGAATAGTAATATTAATAGCCTTGAATGGATTTTTTTCATCTTTAGATTTCAAAGGGCTTTTTAAAGAACAGTAAATATCTTCATTACATCTTCCCCCAATGGTTAGTCTGATTCTGCAGACTTTCCAGAGGACCCAGTAACCCAAAAAGACTACATATCTGGCACACTGAACTGAAAATGTAGTCCAACTCATCTGAAAAATTTATTAGACATCACAAAGTCACCATGAATTACAGATGGATGATGAAAAACTGCTTGAAAATATGCAGGGAAATAGAACAAAAAATTCACGTCTCTAATACTCAGGACTGTAGAAAAGTGGAAAATAAACTTCTATATTATTTTATTTCTCCTTATTTTCTATAGTCTATATGCAAGTTAGGATTGCAGAAAAATGGAAAACAAACTTTTATATTATTTTATTTCTCTCTATTTATTATAGTCCATATGCAAGTTAGCAAAACTAAATTTTTATGGAAAGGAAGAGCACTTTGACTGAAAACTGGTCTTAATACAGGCTTCAAAAATGACAAGAATCTCACTGAAAAGCATCGTGCTCCCATTTTAGCCCAAAAAATGTTATTGTTTCAAATTTCTGTCAGAATTCCCATTAGTGATCATTTTGAATTTCAGTGTAATTTTGCCACATCTCATTTTGACACCAGCACTGGATTCAGCTCCCACAACTTTAGCCATCTAAATATTATGCAGCTAGTCTAAACTGGCTGTCAAGGTTCCCTGCACAGTCAGTGGAGAAAAACAGATATCTGAAAGGGCAGATATCAAGGCAGTTGTGGTGGGAAAGGATGAGGTGCCGTCCCCAGGCACACTCTCCTCCCCTCTCTGTCCTCACTGATTCCTGACTGTACCTTGAGAAGCAGGTAACAACTAGATGTGATAAATCCCACCATCCTGGGATGATGCAATATAGACGTAGAGATAGGGTCAAGGCACTACACAAGAAACCATGAAATCAGAACGCTTGGAAGATGCCCTAAGATTTTTTTCTATATCCCACACTGCCATCTTTTTTTGTTGTTTTTACACATTATCCTTGTCTGTGGACAAGAGAGTGCACTCCACCTGTGTTTCAGCCAAGAGCTCTGGTAATCTCTCCAATGTCTGTCTCTTCCAGCACAAAATTCTGAGAATAATTCGCAATCTTCTAAGTGAAAGCACATGTTAGTCTGAGCATGAAGAAAATGAAGCAAGTTTCTCTATTGTCCTTTGTCAACAACTCAGTAGCTTTTAACGAACCATTACATGACTTTAAAATCATGGCCTAGCTGGGAAGACGGTAGGGCTCCACCACAGATGGGAGAATTGTCTCTGATGGAGCACCAGTACTGGCAACCCTTGTGAGAGCTGAGCTGAGCTGAGCTCCTCCTGGAATATTATGTTCACCAAAAGGAGAATAGAAAGGGAAAGGCAGGTGCTCTCCTGTAAGTCAAAGCAAAACAAAGTCTGATGTCTTATTTCCTCAGCTCTTAGCTGAGAGTTTTTATGCTTACATGTAATGGCTTTAAATTTGGAGAAGATGGGGAGAAAATGTGATGGGACTGAACACCAAAGATCCCAAGTAACTTGTGGATGTTTTCTGTGTCATGAGGTCACCTAAGCTCACAAGCTCAATATCCTTCCCCTAGCAAATATTTGCTGAGGCACTTTGAAGGCCTCAAAGTCTGGGTCCTAAACCAAATTTAATTTAGCTTCAGTACACGAATGGATCCACTACACAACCTGATCCTCTAAACTCGTCTTCAAAGAAAAATCTTGCATCTCCACAACTGTATTGTGTTTACAATTTTTATACCTAAAGCCCAGGAGCACAGCCCACTGGTCCTGCCGATATAACAAGAAATACTGGCAATACCAGAAGAGTCTGGTTCCCTCAAGCATGGTGAAATCTGTGCAATTACCATCAGCAGATAAAAATCATCTTACCACTATCAACAGTGAATCTCTGTGGTCATACATTTACCAATCCACTCCTCAGTTTTCCCTTGTCTCTAAAAAGAGTGAAGGGGACCCTGAAAAACTTGGGTTTGCAACATGGAGGAGCTTAGAGCTCTCCTGCATCTCCTCTCTATGAACAGCTAAGCCTCATCTGCAGTTTGGGTTTGCAAATGCAGGAACGGCAGATGTTGGTGTTGGCAGCAAGACCTAGGTTTTCATAGAGAGGCATAGTGTTAATACAGCAGTAGGAAAGCAATGAGCTGAATAAAACAGTCCTGTTAGCGTACTGTTACCCAAGAGGGCATAAAGACAAGATCTAATCTGCTGTGATTCACTGAGCAATGCTACTTATTGCAAGAGCTTACAAACCCAGATCTCAACACAATTCTCTGAAGTAGTTACGAAAGTTAGATCAAAACCTGACTTCAATTCATTCCCCCAAAGGGATTTGTGAGTTCTTGTTCCAGGCGTGATGGAACGGCAACTGCACTTAAATAAATAAGGTTAATTGCCATTAGCAGCCTTTTACCAAAGAAATGGTAAGAGTAATCAGTGCAGACTCTGGTTTCTCTCCAGAGTAACAAAGCAGTAAGCTAAAGGTATAATGGCTTTCCACCTTCTCGCCTCTGCTCAGAGTTTTGCACAGTTTGTACCCACTGAGCACTATTTGTTTTCACGATCTACCCAGAGGGAGCCAGTTTCCTGTTTTCTACTTGCAGCATTGCTAAATATCCTCTATTCTGGACCTTGCCTTTACTGAGGCAAGTTGCCCAATTTAGCCCGTCGGCCGCAGAGCTAAGGGGATGAGGAGAGAAACCACAGTAAGTAGTGAACTCCCTTTTCTCCCTTCTAAATACGTGATCTTATCACAGCGCATAGGAACCTTCCAGAGACTTTAATGGGAGCTATTCATTTTCTACAGCAGCAGAAAATCCAGAGTAAAAAATTAAAAGATATTGCATTTAGAATCATTTGTGGCACCATTAACTTCTGGTACGTGCTGCCAATCTTGAACGGGGTCCATCCACTGCAGCCACTGGTAGATAACTTTCTCAGCATGGCTGCCCAGTATCCATTAGCCTTAACAGACACTTTTTAATATCTGAATTCAAATTCCTTTTCTGTTAGGATCAAATGGCTCATGCTGGTTCCATCACTGAAGCTGGAAATTGTGCAAGAGTTGCACATATACTATGTTTCTCCAGATGTCAATGTTTCATGTGTTTGCTCCATGTCAGGTGTGCTCCGCATGCAGGACACATGAATGTAGGGTTGAGCTCAAAGCTTAGCCCATGGTATCACTGACAAGTTTCCCACTGGTTCAAAAAATGTCTGATAAGTGTTTTCCCCCCTTACTTAGGCATCCTGTCTCCCTTCTCCCCAGGCTCATCAAAGTGAAGAGATTATTTCCTTCCATTTCACTTCATCACACTTTATTACGCGTTACTAAATTCTCCTTGCTGTCTTTTAGAAGAGCTACTGTCTCCTCCTCAAGCTCTTTATTTCACATGTATTTGAAGGGAATAAAACCCATTCAACCCTGTTATTTAACTTAAACTCTTATGCATCCTTCCTCTATTTCATAACCTTTGCTTTTCTTATCTATGCCTTTCCACCCTCTCTACCTCATTCTGAAATCTTTCTCAACAGCCCTCAGACTTCCGCTTCTATTCTCATGCTTTATATTGTGCAGACACCCCTTTCTTAGCTTTGATTACATTCTGCATTTCCTTTTTCAAGCACATCACCTCCTATCTATATTCCCACTGTATTTGTATTTATTGCTAAAAGGCAAGCATCACTCTGTGTTAGACAACAATTCATCTTTGTGAACACCTTCCCTCTGGGTCATAACCTCTTTATCTTGCTTGATTTTGCTTCCTTAATTCCTTCTCATGTGTTTTACTTGGAGTTCAATTTTTGTGACCACTTTCAACCTAAATTAGATGACAACTATTGTACACAGTCTTGGCTCTTTTCACCTCCACTTTTACAATTACGCCAACTTCTTCAAACTCATGCAAAGAAACAGTCTTTCCTATGCTCTTCCTTCTATCATACTAAGGTGCACTTCCTTCTTCAAAACAGCATGCAGTTGTTAGTTGGACAATTCATCTCACTTAGACTAACTTAATCTAAGCTAATCATCTAGACAGGTAGGCTGAACCACTGTTTAGAGGCACCTCTCTGTGCCACTAACACAAAGGAAGCTTACAGAGAGGCCAGGCTTTAATACAGTTACGGGACGTATTTTCACACTAACAGTGGTACTCCAGTATTATTACTTCAACTTTTTGCATGAAGAAATGAGCTGGTGCTAGCGACCAGCTCACAACCAGTGCAGAAAGCCAGTAGAAGAAATGAGATCACATCACAGATGCTAAATTTCTGACCGTTTCCAGAATTATTCACCTTTACTATGAGGTCTCTGAATCAATCTACTCTATTCCATGCCCCCAAAACACAAAATCACTTCTTTCAAATCACAGAAGAAACAGAGAGGAAAGTTAAGAAATGTGCAAGATCATCTTTCTTTGTGACCGAATTTGCACCAATATTCCTAGTGCTACCGCACCGACTCTGTTCATCCCCTCCCCCCTTTAGTAAGGGCTGTTTGTTCTGCAGGGAATACATTTTTACTCGGGGTGAAAATACAGTACTAAATATAACAGTCTGTGCGACTTATTTTTGCTTTTATTTAGAATAGTGTCCCACAGATCTATACAGTCCCGTAAACCTAACTAAGCAGCATCCCTTTACGTTCCTATTGTTCTCTGGCCTGAGTTACCTAATTTGAAGCTGCTCAGCAATCCTTAAGATTTCTGATACTTCCCCCTGCCCCAGTCACCATGGGGAATAACAACACACTGGGATAAAGCTGCCTGAAGAGTTGTGGAAAGCTCAGCTTTGGAGATCTTTAGGAAAAAGCTTCACAAACATCTGATAAAAATGACAGTGGTGGAGCTAGTCCTGACTTGGAGAATAAGATTGACCTAATTGTTTTTATGGAGTCTTTCCCTGCTCTGCAATTCTACAATGTATTAATGTTCCTGCAACTACAACACTAACCTCTTTTTGAGAGAAGGAAAACAGGAGCATTAAGTGCATTTTCAACAGCCTTACTGTGTTTCTGAAGCAGCAACAAAGCTTGTCCCACAAAACCAACCAGCTCTCTGCAGACAAGCAGCAAATGCTATACTGATTACCGATCCTCGAGCAAAGAGAAAATCTGATCTCTGAGCCATATCTAAAAATCTGATACATCATCAGCTCCCTCTGCCCTGCTCCCATTCAGGGCACAGAAAGCTCTGTGCTATGTAGTAATAACACTCAGATAAGAGGCATCTGTGGAAACTTGACAAAAGGATTTAGCCTTTAAATTGCAAACATTAAACCTAAACTAACGGGGCTCATAAATATATAACTGTAAAGTCACGTAAAACAAATGGAAAACAATTTAAAAATGTAAAACAAACAAAAAAACATAGAGAGGAACATAGCCTGTAACAAAGTAATTGAACTACTGAATGCATGACTCCGCATGCCAGTTTTTAGGTTCTCAAACACATCCGTTTCCACAAGTTGCTTATAAACTCATACAGGAAGCTCAATTTAATGTGAATTTACACCTACAGGAGATGATGTTTCCGTATCTATTCTTATTGCGGTTTTCGTCTTCCTTGGCTGTATCCCAGGATGCCGTCTGCCCCTCAGGTAGTGCCTGCAAAATAAACAACAGCGGAGTGTTTATAAAAATCTGGCCAATGCCTTCAGGTGGATTAACACGACAGAGCAGGGCAAAAATAAAGGCACTGCATAATTCAGTAGTCGCCCAAGCAACAGCTGCTCTTGAGGAAAGGGCACATCTAATAATGCAAAAAGCAGAGCTTGATGCCGACCATTTGCATCTCTTGGCTTTTGCTGGCTAAGAATCATTTCCCTCCTGCAACTTCTGACTGAAAAGAAGCTGGGAAATTCGTTCTGGCTGGTCAAGCTGCGTTTTCCCTGCAGAATTGGATCTGCGGAGATTTCACACACACACACCTCAGAGAAAACCCATATGGGAAAAACCCACAGGGCTCAGTCTTTGATAGTTAAGTTGAAAATAGATATAGTGGCTTCACCTATTTCTATATTAATAATGGGGCAACAAGGAGTCTTCATTAATCACACAACACAAACCACTGGCTGTTTTTCTTTGAGAAAAAAAAAAAAGAAAGCTGCAATGTTTTAGATCATGTCTAAGGAAAGGAGGCAAAAGGGGTAAAATATGCAGATCATGATAATAAATGGTCATTTTCCTAAAATCTGTCCTATTGGCAGAGAAAGGATGAGGCAAGTAAACTCTGGTAGCAAACAGGACTTGTCCAGCGCAGTCCTATAGCTATTCTGAACTCAACCAAATGAGCTACTTTCCCCTTGAGACATGTTGAGGAAAGATTTTAATGCTAGAGCCAGGAAAAAGGCAGCTGTCCTGGGATCCAGCTGGACGATGGTCTCGTCTTCCTTGGAACATGGCCATGAACAGGATGATCCCCCTCCCTTTCTCAGGATCGTCAGGGGATGTCAGCACAGGTAGACCAAAGCAACCAGAGCTGCTGGATCCTGCCCCAGTTGTATGGAACAGGAAGCCACAATCAGAAGACAGCTGTCATTCGCTGTAGCCAACTTGAACATTGATTTGCGTTGCAAACGTAGGCGAGAAAAAGAACAGCTTCCACTGAATTTTCTCTGCAGATCTGCCTCCTCCAAGATGTACTCCCTAATGTGATCCTATCTTGCTAAAAACAACAGTAACGTCACAAATTGTATTATTTATAATCCCTAGGGAATAATGGGTTTTTATAACGCAATCATTGCAGAATCTGATCTTCCTTAGCTAGCAGCAGGTAGTTCGACACAGCACTACTGGAAAATGAATTTATCTGCATCTTCGCAAGCCATCCAGCTCTATTACAGTGCTTGAAAGCAATAGCAGAGAGAGACAATTATTAGTATCTACAATGCTGACATTACAATTAAACTTATTATGAGGAATGCCCCGGCAGAACAGATCATGGTGAATCTCCCCAAAGGGGGTCGAGGCCAGAAAACGTCAGGCACTGCAGCACTGCCCTGAGCATCACCGACAAAAGCCAGGGACAGCAAGTTCCTATTCAAAAGCCCAGGAGAAAGAGTAATAACTCCATAATTGGTGAGGGCTTTGATCACAAATATATTTCCTCTTACAGATAGCTGTTTCCAAATAGCCTCTCATCTCCTGGACAAAAAAATACAAACCTATACACAACAAAAAAAAAAATCCCTGAATGAAAGTAAAGAGGTGAGGTAGGTTCATTTTCATCTTCAAAGACTGAGGAAAAAGATGTCTTATTTTTTATTCTACTAATATCAAGTTACAGAAGATTGACCAGGGAAAGGCAGCAGTCATTAGACATCTAATCACAGCCACCCGAAAAGAAAAGAAGTCCTCTCTCATCACTTCCACACATGGGGGAAGCTATCTTGGCCAAAGAAAATCCATTCAGGCCCAATAAATCCTATAGCCACTAAATCTGTCCTGTCACACAACTTAAGCATGAAATTCTCCCTTGAAATTGATGTTTTGATATTTGCCTGATAGCTTCCAAAGATTTAACCAAAAGTCTGGGATTGTTCATCTCATTAAACACCGAAATCTCTACTTTGCACAAAACTATCCATGTCTTTTGGAAGAGAGACAGTATATTTCTGGTTGGCGAGGAACACACGCTCCCTTTGCAAAAGGGTAGCTTATTCCACTACCTTTATACACAGCAGATGAACAAATTGGAACAACTGCACGTGCACAGGTGGTACGGCACAAGCAGTTCTTCAGTGAGATCACTAAAAATGCAGCGCTAAGAACTGAAACTGCAGCAGAAAAACCAAGGCAAAAATATCATTTATAAATCAACTGCGTCCAGAAAAAGAGGATCACACCTAAAGCTTTGTCCCTTGAGTCTTGATTGGTACAATAAATATTCCTATGCTATCAAAAAGGGGTAATATTTCTGTTTCTCTCTGCATTGCCAGCAATGGTAAACCAAGATGGATCATCCAGGTATCTTTTACTTGCTCCTTATTTGATGCTTTTGGGCTTTCTATTCTTAATACTCTGTACTCTTTTTCGTTTAATTTTTTTAACTGCAAAGTTTCAGTGTTCAGAAGACTGGGCTCAGTTCTTAACATTTTCTTACTTTTATTCTTCCGGAGAAGTTTTGTAAAATTCATATTATCTTCCCAGTTGTGGAACGTATGTTATAATGACACTTTTGGACTAAATTGATCTAATTTTTATCTGAAATTACAGGGTAGGATCTCTCAAAGAAGTCAGCTTCACCTCAATCAAGCTTTTAAGCAGCGCGGCCCAAAAGTAACCAAAGCGCTCGCATTAAATCGCGGCTTAGCGCAAACCAATTTAAATTTCCAATGGATGCATTTAGCGAGTTTGCTGTTTGTTTTTCATTTAAATGAGAAGACTTGAGTCCTTCATTTGCACTCATCTGCCCCAATCCTGCAGTTTGACTACATAAAGCTTTTGGCAACAATATCAACTACAAGTGCTGCTGCTCTGCTCAGGCTCTGCCTCGCAGCCCTCACCCTCCTCAACCCGCCACCTGCACAACAGTGGTGGCACAACCGCTCCCGTGCCTGTGCTAAAATACTGCTTTGGCTAAAAAAGAAGCTGAAAAGAAGTATTTCAGCCAGCTCAGCTCCCCACTCTGGTTCACAGCAAGGGCACACAAAGCTTTAAGCCAACATAGTCCACAGACAGCAGTAAGACCCAACTGCCCAACACTGTGCAACCTTGTGTTCGAGCCTGAACTGCAGGATGTAGTCTCTGGACCAGACAGAGGATGCGTAGCCACTCAGAAGGGAAGGGTTAAAAATCAGACGTCCCTTCAACACGCTGCAGATTGTCAATACTAAAATGCTTGAGGAAGGAGCTGCAAAATCCAAAATAACTAAACGATCTCAGCTACGCCTCAAGAGGAAAGCACTTTGATGTCATCCTAAATCATATTCGAAAATGAGTTTGGAGGCTTAAGCTTATTATCTCTGCAGCAGGTAATCGGTGCTCACAGTAAATCTAGGACTAGTCTAGTAGCTCGCAACAAATCAGAGCTGATATGCGCTCAAAAATGAACAGGTGACACTTGAACAAGTCCTGCTTAAAGGTTTACACCTAGGCCTAATCCCAAATAGTGCGATCTACCTCCAGTGTCAGTGATGTGTTCGTCTCTTGCTTGACCACATGTTTTACTGCTAAACAAAATCGGCAGTTAAGTGCCCGAGTACAGCAGGCACACCCAAAATAATGCCCCCAGGGATGCCCACGTCTACACATACAGGGTTATCATCGGTTCACACAAACAGCGACACTGGGCACACAGTCACACCCTGGCTTTCACCTCCGTGAGGAGCTGTGTATGAGCTGCAAACTCTGGAAATATTCTGGACGCCCTTACTGAAATAATGCTACCTTGGCTCTAATGCTACAGAGGTGAAGAGATTCTTCAAACAAACATGAAATGCAATTCCTCAGTAACTAAGTGGAGGTGGAAACGGACAGAGATAAGAGACTGCCACGTGTGACTGATGCATTCTGCTCAGAGGGATATTTCATGGAAGTAAAATTATTTTGGAACATGTCACCAAATAAGCTGTAATTGATGCTATCAATTTGCAAAGTAAGGGGAAAACCAGCTCCTTAAAAGAAAAATGTATTTGGAGGTCACATTGATATTAGTTTATGAAAATACATTTTAAAAGAGACATAAAGCAAAGTTTTAAGTCATTTCTTATTAAAGATCTTATCAAACATTTTGCAAAACAGGCTTTCTCTTCTTCCAAATTCCAGTCTGAGGCACCACTTTTCACCAACTTAATACTACCTTTCCTACCTTCCACAAGTTTTAACATTCCTCAACATCCTCCCTAAATTTGTGGTATTGCTACTCGTGGTTGAAAATTGGAGCTGAAGTGCTACCTGCATCCCATGTTCTGCAAGCCAAATTCCACCATCTAAAATGACTGCCATTTAAGATAATTACCTCTGATTGAAGGGTAGACTATCGCGTATGATTTGAGAGCTTGTGGAATTCTCCAGACTATTTCTTGTAAAGAAAGGAATTATGCAAATCTATATAATGCCATCATCATTATACACATATGTAGATAGCACTTTCTGCAAAAGGCAGAACTTAAAGAGCCAAAAGTTGCATTGACATTTTTCATGCTAATGTGTTATTTTGATAATTACCAATGCCAGTGCCAGAAAATTACATATATGCCAGCACCTGTTTTCTTCTTGAACATCAAGAACTAGATCTTACAGCATCTGTAAGTGAGCTGCATGCAGTTTTGGGTGCTGTTCATGAAAGTGGAGGCTAAGGAGGGGAGCTAAATAAATCTTCTATGAGAATTAATACCTTTTTCATTATTAAACACAGCTCGTTGTGTCGATAGTGTAACTAGCATGCTTGATTGTGCGGCATGAGTGACTAGACCCTGTTAACATACAGTTACTAGAAGCATTTGTTATGGCAGTTTTTGATGCCATCTGATCAAAAAATACTCCCTGGTGAAATCCAGGAAAAGATTGTCTCTCAATAACAGCATAAAACAGCACCAGTGATACAAACCCCATGGACTCTTTAGATGCAGGGTTGAAAAGTGAGCTGTTTTCATTAGGTTACATATTTTTCAAGGCTGTTATGTTATTTTTAAATAGTTTTAATGCTACCATGCATATTATTATTTACTGCCTTCCCACAAGCTTACTCCACTCATGATAATTATTGTTCGCTAGAGCTAAGTCTCACAAATATTTGATCCTATCTCCCTCTTCTGTTCTCTCCCCCTCTAAATGTACACTCTCTTTCAACTCCTCCCCAATGTCATGTTTCTTATTGTCTTTGCTTTCAAGTTATGTTCCTGACAATTCCAGCTTTGGGGGCTTTTTTCTGCTTTTTTGGCAGCTTGTTGCCTCTCTTCACGTTGGAGTTGGAAGGTGAAGTCAGTCGAACGTGTTCCGAGCTTGAGGTTTGAACATATGGGACAACTCCATCATCATTTAAGCTACCGCAAGGTTCCTGGCTTTGTTTTTACAATTCTGCGTGCAGGCAATTAAGCTGTGGTTTAAGGTGATGAATTGCTGCAGAGTATTTGGGGCTAGAACAGAAAGAAAGCTAAAGCAAAAAAGCCTTCCTTGAGTCTCGTTTGCACTATTGTAGCTAAGAGTGGGACTAGGGGACTCCAAATCTTTCAGTGAGTTCAGCACCTGTTAAATATTTACTACCTGCCTTTCACAGGAGAGAGGGCACATGGTAACAGATGAACATGATGTTGGTCTCCTACCGCAAGACAAAACACCTTTTCTTCGGACCTAGGAAACAGAAGGTCACCGGAGATTGCCACTGCTATGAAATCCCGGCCTTATGAACAGAAGCAAGACGAAGGAAGGACTAAGAAGGCAAATAAATTAAGGAAAAGAGGCTCTTAAAATTAGTTATCCTCCCCTCCCAAGCATCTAGCCTTAGTTGTGAGCGCAGCTTCTCTCCTTAGTGGTGTGAGTGAGCGTTCGTCTCACCTCATACTCCTCTTTAAATCCATAGCCCTGGCCTCGCTTCATCTGGGTGATGTGCTGCAGCAGGTCGGCCACGCGGATGGCTGGCTGGAACTGCCCCCGGGGGTAGGACATTTCCACCGGCTCACAGCTCCGGTACGGATGAGTCTGGATAGTCAGAGTTGGCTGCGTCATCTCTCCATGGCTACTGTCTGTTTTAAAGACAGGGAGGCAAAACAAGCTTTCACCTATCTGTTATTTCCACTCTCATTCTCGCTCCTTTTATTTGTTTTTTTCCATCACCCCATAGGCTGGTACAGGCAAAAGAAAGTAAAGAAATAAACACACGTGCCTACGGCTGCCTAGAAAGACTACGTCACATTCAAAGTATTTTTTGCGTCAAGGAGGCAAATCCAAAAGAAATGGCAACAGAGCAAATAGCCCATCAGGCACAAGGATGATATAGCATATATAGTGAAATAGCACATATTGTAAGTGTGAGCTCTGCATAAGGACTCTGCTCCAGTTACATACCTTTCTCCACAAACCTGTAAAGAACATGACTGAGAAGTACGGACAGATAAGCAAGATAGTCAAGAGGATTTGTGGTGTACAACGGGCAATAACTAAGAGGGACCGGGGTAACAGAGAACAAATTATTAGCATTTCAAACAAGGCACACAGCACGTTAAGCAAATAAAACCGAGTTGCAAGTTTAGGCCTAAAATTTATACATCAATTACAAAGATGTAGCATTATCAGCAATAATAAAATAGCACAGAAATACAGTTTCCTTACATGCAGACCCTTCAATTTCAGATACGTAAACTTAACAGTAAAAGTTCCTTTTCCATAGAAATGGATTTAAAAAGCTCTATCACTATATAGATGGAAATTGCAGCTTCCTAAATTCCCAGGAAAATTATAAATATATAACAAAAAAAAAAAAATCCCTGGAGGATTGACTAATAGAAAAGAACTTAAATCAACAAACAATTGACTGTCACAATATTTATTTTAACAAGAAAAGAGTTAGATTAAAGGCAAAATTTAGTTTCTTATCTTCCACAGTTGCCCAGATTCAAACAGTTGGCCAAGAGAGCCGTTGTCTTTTCATATGACTACGGGTAGCTAAGATGCACAGCTTCCTTGGCAGGTACAGGCCTTAATATTCTGCATCAATTCTTTCTGATCTTACCCAATAACAGCATATTAGCAAACACAAAAGATATCTTCTTCTAATTGTTCAAAAAATTTGAAGATTCCACACAGATGGGTCAATTATTATGGAAAGCTTACTGAAAAAGGCGGGACTCTAAACACCATTGCATGTCAGCAGCCATACAGTTACGTTTCAGAAGGGATAAAGAACACATAAATTTTTGAAGCCCAGGTTCTCATAAACACACCCACATCCCTGGGACGCTCGAAGATTTAGAGAGTTACGGCTCTAGCAAAACAACTCTCGCGTACCAAATGTGAATAAATTTGGAATTTAAGGAAGAGTAACGTTCACAGCGTTTGTATAATCATCCCTAATGCTCCAACTAATGACAGTGTGAGAACTCTGAACAGAGGGAATTTCAAGGCTTATTAATTCCCCTAGTTGGACTCGCTTTCCCAGTGCATCTTGCCTCCCCTATTCCCTATTAGCCTCCTGTAATGGAAAAGAGAAGATTTTTATCGCGGACCATTTCCAACAGACGTACTATGCTTAATTTTCCATCATTAGGTTTAATACAAACCCAATTTCACAACTGGCTTCTCTGAGGAACCTACAAGTAATGCCACATTTTTTATCAGCCCCAATTAAAAAACATTACGATATCCCTATTGGAGAGGGAGTCTTAAAACTAATGTACGGTTCTAGCGCTAATACAGTAAGGGCACACACAGAGCACAGGCTACTTGTAAAACATAGCTCAGATCAGTCGGCTCCTTCACAGGCAATTATTAATTTCTCTCTTCATCAGATCCTTTAATTCTGGTCTATTTGGCTCTCATCTTTCACTGGTTTCACAGGGGAGAGGTGAAAGGCAGAAGAGCGCCCCTCTCCCCCTTGCAGAATTAGTTCCTTCACTTAGCTTCCCAGCTCAGTGTTTCTGCTTTGAAGGAAAAAAAAAAAAAATCACATGATCTAGGTCATCCTCCACTCTAGGATACATGGAAAGTCAAAACCAAGAAAATCAGCTCCTCTGGATTTCTATGACAAATGTGTCCCGACTGGCCCCCGTGCACTACCCAAAAGAAAACCCAAGTCTGGCATTTGCACTCACTCAGGATGGCTGTCAAGTCTTGCCACAAGCTTTTTATCTAGGCCGAGGAAGAACTAGAGCGGCTTTTATGAAGACAAATTGCTATGTACGAGGTGAGCCTCACATTCGTGTGTTCTGCTAATAAAACCAGATGCAAGAAACATACTGTTCCATCTCCATCTAATCACAACATGAGTATGAACCTCAGCACGGTTAATGAGGCACTCAAGCAAGGCACTACACCATCGCTCGAGACAGGCTGTTTAGGGCAATTTCGTGAACAGTTCAACGTGTAGGGTAGGAGGAGAGGTAGTAGCAAACTGATCTCCCACTAGGACGATCAACCAAAAGAGTCTTTGGAGGGCTTACAAACTGGCTCTGTTTTTCCTGCACCTTGCAGCAATAATGCACATTTTGCTTCTTCTGGCACTGTTATAACTGGAAAGGCAATGAAAATATCAGCGCCTGAGCAAAATCAGACTTCTGGTTTAAATGTTGCACTTAAGGTGAGTCACAGCTCACTTTTCACAACCCCTCTTCTCCATCCCCCTTCTCGCAAACATAACCCCACTTTCTCGCAAATATGGATGAGTCTGTAGGACAAACGAGCCTACAGTTTTGACAATATCTCTAAAGAAACCGTGCTTACAGGAGTTTCCAGTGAGAATAACCCGTCAAGAAAACAGCTATTTTTGGAAATAATTCACAATAACACTCAAACGAGTAAACATACAAAACCATGCATCAGATTTTTTGGATTATACTTCATACACATGCCTTAATTTCAGTCGTATGGGCTTGTTCTGTTGTAGGAACACAAACCACAAAACTTCACTCAATATCAAAGGCAGAACACAATTTTGAGAAACACCCCCAAATTTAAAGACCTCAAATGATGGTGATTCCACCTCAACCTCAAAATTCCTGCTGTCTAAACACGTCTTAATTGCAAGTCGACTGTTTAGCTTAACTTCTAAGCACTGAATCGTATTCTACTTTCTCTCAGCTAGATTAAAGAGCCCTCTGAGTATTTGAAATCTTTACCCATGCAGGTACCGATCAAATCAATTCTTCCATTTCTCTTTGATAAATTAAATCAGTGGAGAGCTTCTGAAGTCTCACTAGGGCAGACTGTTCAGAACTCCCGTTCCTTCCTAGAACCATCTCCAATTTTCCAAAGTTCTCGTGCAGCTGTAAATAAAACAGATATTTTGTATGTTGCTGGAAACATGCTGCTTACAGTAGGATCATCTCTAGTATTAGTAGCTGTAAATAAACAGTAAAATATTTTGTCGGCTTGTTTGTTAATGCTTTTGGTGGTGTCACACTCTTACTCCCCATACCAACATGGCCATTGCCAATGCACATTTTTTGATTTCTAGAAGCCAGCACTTACATCATTATGAGCCTGTTAGTTCACAGAATGTCCTGAAGCTCTGTTTAAGGCATATTAAAAAACAGTCACTGGCTCCCATGTAACTAGCCTGATTGGGAAACTCTTCAGGCATCTCAGCTTATCATCAGTTTTGGGGGTGTAAGTGCAGAAAATCAAATTTAAAAAAAACATTGGCTACACTTTTATTTTTCACAAGCTCTCCCTGCTTATGAAATTGTCCTTCCGTGGCCCTCTCCTTCGCTGCAGAAATAATGATAAATTTGCTGAAGCAAACTGTGAGGTCCAGCTCTGCCAGGAGAAACGCAGCAGAGCAGTGTGTGCTGAAAAAGGCTCCAGCCGAGGATGGATAGACGGCATCCTTCCCCCTTTGATGAGTAACCCTGAGGGTGGGATATTACTGCCTGCCTGCTGCTACACTACCTTCTATTATACACTTTCCTTGCTAACCAGACAAGTAAAATACATGCATCTCCCTCCACAGAAAAGCTGATAAACTCCTCCATAGATGTCACGGAGATGATGAAAAACAACTGAGAAATTAGATTTGCAAGCCTGCATTTGCTGTGTATGGCCAGACTGCTATGCAATGTTCCCGTAAGCCTGCTGGGAAGGGACCCATTCACCCAGAGCAGCTTTGGGGATTGAAACTTTAGAGCCCCTCATACACATTATCTTGTTTCATAAACATAGTTTTGTTACTCTAAGACACAGATATCTACACACATACACACATTTTGATGTTGTCTTCAGGGAAAAAAACAAGCAAACCTAATCTATGCCTCAAAACAACTAAAACAATGCTGCACTGATGCGTGAGCTTGAATACACAGAGAAGTTTCTTCCAAAACTTTGGCTTCAATATCCACAACCCTGTTCTGTTACTGCAGTGACAGGCCTATCATCTCTGTTTATATTTTTATTCTCTTAGCCTTGGCAAGTGTGTAACATGATAGGACATCCTTTGCACAAAATAGATTTTATTTTGAGTAGTGTTTGTGATGGATTTAATTACACACATATCCAATCTCTCTCTGCTAGAGTAAGGGTTGTCAATTATTTGACATCTTCCAAGGATGGCTACAGCATGGCTAATATCTCTTCCCATTACACTAGGGATACAGTGGTACTTGGTAAGATTAATTTGCTTTTATGTGTGCATCAAGGCTTTATTGTATGATAAATACCCAGCTCTAAGGTAATATGGTATATACAGTACAAAACAGTGGTATGGCAAACCAGAGTCAAACCATTATTTGTCTAACAATACCAATTTAGCTACACAAGGCACATCTCCTAGCAAAAAGCCTTCTGACACCAAGTTTAATAGAAAGTGAAGGACGCATCTTTCATTTCAAATACTCGGAAGAAGATGCATGTGTATGATTAAAAAAAAAATGCTGGAGAAATTTATTTTCTGTAGCTTTTTAAGAGATTTTATAGAGTCACTTGGTAATCATCTTATAGACGTGTACTCCAACCTTACGAAAATCTTCTGATTATGTACATTTTTTTCATCAGATAGCAAAGAAGAAACCCCCTTAAAGGTGTTAGGAAGATGCTTTGGCAATGTGGGCAACCTTGGGATTGCTCAGCACATGTATAACTACAGCTCATTAAATGCATGGACCTCACCAAGCCAAATCTCTCTTTGCCTCCAAGGTGAAAAGGAGTTGTCAGATCTACCTACCACACAGAGCACTAGGTCAGTGACGTCATTAGCTAAAAATTGCTGACAATTTCAAAACAGCACACAAACCAGCAGCCACTGAAGACTGGAAGGTAAAGTTTTGCCAAGCTATCTGGTCTTATGCAGCCTTTCAGGAGCTTTTTAAGGGAAGTTCAGCTCAGGTAACAGCCCTCGCATTCAGCCCGCTCCTCAGCTGCTTGCTCTGCTGTAGGTCAATGTTAGCACACTGAACTGATGCAAACACCTCTCCCATAGCTCCTTAGATGCTGATATGGCCTGGCAGGCTAAGGATACTACCAAAGAGATCAAGCCATGGATTTTTAAATGTCTATTGCTTAAAAATAACTCATCTTTCAAATTAAACAGTCAGTAATGGTGAGGTTCCCTGATACAGCAGTGTCAGCTTCTTACTCCCTTTTTGGTTCTTCAGTCATACGGCTGTGGATAAACCCCCAACAGACTGGTCAGGCATGGGCAAAAGCCCATCCTATCCATGGAAGAGAGAAATCCAGGTCAAATTTCAATGTATTCCCAAGAGCAAGCCAGGTTTTGTGTGCAACTTGATGACAGTGAGCTGTGTGCGAGGAACCTTGCAGTGACCAAGCCCTTGGGCTCTCCAGAGGGCAGGGACTTTCACTGCCAGGAGCCTTCTGAGCAGGTGAAATGACAAGGGGAAATGCCCTTACAGACAGACAGCAGATGTTAATGGATGCAAGGGAAGGACATACTGCTTCCTCTGAAAAACCTGCCCTGATGACATTTGCTGAACATCTTTGAGAGCTCCTGGCCACCTACGTTTTTCTCTCTAAACAACCTCTAAAGTCTGCACTGCCTCCTATTCAGGCTTTACATTACTTGTACAACATGGGCCTTACTGAAATACCAAAAACAGGGAAATCTACTTCATTTGTTAGTATTAACTATTTGCTTCGCTAGCAAACATACTTGCGCAAACCATTTAAAATCAGAATTGTCAACAAAATTACACAGCTGAAAACATGTATTACACAGAAAAATATTAATCAAGCAGAGGAGGGGTAGAGGCAAAAAACCATCCCCTATATCTTATTATCAACAAATCATGCCACAGTCAAGCCTTGGGGGTCACGTGCCATTGCAAATACAGAACATATATTAGCAGAAGGTATGATAGAGGGGAACAGTGTCAAACCGCGGGTAGTGCTCAATGATGGATAATGGTGCTGGGATGACTGAAGCCCTTTTTAATGTCTCTTTTTATTTCCCAGGAATGATTATTAATAAATTTCAAACAATAAACTTATTTAGCTTATTTGCAGATTTTGCTTATTAAACAGCATGATCCAATGTCTTGTGAATCTGTGTGACAAGCCAGAATGTCAGTTCCTGGCCTTCATTTGCCCAAGTCACACGACAGAAATTTGCTCACAGCTAATGGCTGCTCCATAGCACCTCTGGCTGTTCAATTCAGGTGGAAGTGAGGAAATGACCTATCTGTGTAAATCTTATCTTAAAAGTGCTCTGTGCTTGGCTTCCCATGTGTAAAACAGGGATATTAATCCTTAAACATCTCAGAGACGGTGGTTAGCAGGTGTTCAGTTTGAAAGAATGTTGAATCCATGAGTACAAGACTACTTTACAGAATCACAAAATCACAGAATGGCTGAGGTTGGAAGGGACCTCTGCAGATCATCTAGTCCAACCTCCCCTGCTCAAGCACGGTCCTCTACGGCATATTTCCCAGGATTGCATTCAGGTAGGTTTTGAATATCTCCAGGGAAGGAGACTCCACTGCCTCTCTGGGCAACCTGTTCCAGTGCTCAGTCACCCTCACAGCGAAGAAGTTTTTTCTCAGGTTTAGATGGAACTTCCTGTGGTTCAGTTTCTGCCCGTTGCCTCTTGTCCTGTCACTGGGCACCACGGAGAAGAGGCTGGCCTCATCCTCTCGACACTCCCCCTTCAGATACTTATACACGTTGATCGGATCGCCTCTCAGTCTTCTCTTCTCCAGGCTGAACAGGCCCAGCTCTCGCAGCCTTTCTTCGGAGGAGAGCTGCTCCAGTCCCCTCATCGTCTTTGTCGCCCTCCGCTGGACTCTCTCCAGTAGCGCCATGTCTCTCTTGTACTGGGGAGCCCAGAACTGGACACAGTACTCCAGGTGAGGTCTCCCCAGGGCTGAGGAGAGGGGCAGGATCACCTCCCTCGACCTGCTGGCAACACTCTGCCTAATGCAGCCCAGGAGACCATTGGCCTTCTTGGCCACAAGGCCACACTGCTGCCTCATGCTTAACTTGTCCACCAGTGCGGATTTAATTCCTAATTCCTGGGTTTTTTTTTTCTAAAATTTGCTATTTTGAAAGCTTTATCAGCTTTTTGGAGTTTTTCTTTCTGCTATGGCAGGCCTAAGTTGAATTCCCAGATCACTCCTTGACCCTCAGATTAACGAGCGTGCAGTTCGCACTGCAATTTAGCTGCCCTAGCAAAACTCAAAGCACAGCTATTCTCACCATTGGGACATAGGTGTGAAAAGAGCTCCAGCAAATGAGGGTCTGATTTTCACAGGTGCTGAGCACCAGGTTAAGAAGGGTTTGACACCTTCCAGCAAGTTGTAGGTCTGAGCCCTATTTCTAAAGGGACTATAGCCAAAACAGATATCTACCTTTAGACTTCTCTCTAGACAATACTAAATGTCTGGGAAACTAAGAGCAAACCTTCTGGAAAAAGGGCTCATTAATTGCAGCCAGCATTTTGATAGATAGCTGGATAAATGTCTGTATCGTGGCAGACCCCTCAAGCGTGCCTCTGCCCAGACTGCTAGTCCGTAAGGCAAGGCACTGGAGTGAACGGTTATGATTTCTTCTTGCTCTAACTATAGGCTTTCAACACGCGCCGAGTAATGTTTAAAGCAGGCACGGTAGATTACTGTGTCTGGAAGTGAACAGTCACTGCAGATAATCCGAAATGACAGGTTTGATAAACACCCCTGGTTAGATCCTGATCAGCCACCCATCATCCTCCTGATGCATCGCGGAGGAATTGCTGCCTGCAAATTCCACAGACAGGCAGCGTCACATCCTCGAGGGAGAGCCTCAAGTTGTAGGCTGTTATTACTCACTTTCAAGGGTACACCTCTGCTAAGTTTCTGAATAACTTCTTTTATCTACTAATTTTGCTGTCTCTGTTAACTCACCATAGCAGCACCTTATTTTTAAAACTCCAAAAGCTAAGAGCTGCAGACTGGATGCTTTACTTCTCTACCAGAATAAAAGAAGCTAACTTTCAGAAGTGATGAATGCTGGCATCTTCCTTTAAAGTTACCAGCAGCCACAGAACAACCTGCATCTCTCAGAGCTAGCATTTTTATTAGCCTTTCAAATCTGCGCTTGATTGCTTGAGCATTTAGCATTTAATTCGCAGCATACACAAAATGAGGTGAGGTCACTTGCTCAAACTCAGCATCTGATTTCTCCATATAAACTCTCTATTTGCAACTGAGTCCAAAAGACGCAAACTCCCCACCTGCTTCGAACATGCAAATCCTCACTCCCATTTGCAAGCCCTGAGGCACGCAGAGCTGAGATTCACGCATATGACTCAGCCACCAACAGGCACAATGACTGACATGAGTCAAAACTAAGCAAAAGTCAAGAAGGCATATGGGAATTTGGCCTAGAAGGTCAAATCCCATTCACAAAAAGAAATAACAATGAACTACTCTTCCCTAAAAAAAAAAAAAAAAGGAAAAAGAAAAAAAAAAAGATAAAGCTGGAATAAAAAAAATCTGCAAAAGGGTTTTGAATTAATACAGTACTGGACCACAGGATAAATAATGATTTTAAGAGCCCAGCCAGTTAACTGTGTTCTCCGAGCCATTTTCAAGGCGCAATAAGTGTGTTTTCTCTCCAGTGAAGTGAGGGGCACCATACCTGTCTTCTTACCTAGCAGCGTGGTCGATGGAACAGTGTCTGATGATACTTTTGAGATGAAATTCCGTTCACCCACACGACACGGACCAATGGAAATCAACAGAAGATCAATAGGAAAAAAGTTACAAAAAATGAAAACAAGGTTAGCGGTATCTAACACTCAGAAGATTCAGTCTATATGTCATATTGGGAAATGCACAAAAGCAAAGAAAATTAAGTAATGAAATAAAAGTCTGGCACTAGTACCTGAGTAGTAGGAATTCAACAAAGATTTGCTCTGAAGGGTTTTGCTTTGGACAGAAAATGAACAAGGAGAGGGTGATGCTAGGTAGGAAAGACATAAGGAAAAGACTTTAGACATATATTAAGAGAGAGAAAGAACAGGGAGAATGCTCCTCAAAGAACACAGTAATATGGGATATATAAGACTTATCACAATGAATTATATTTTTCATCTCAACATGCATATTACATTTATTACAATGTCATCATGATGGATTTCCTTTAATATAAGCACTCCACACCCCAAACACTGTATTATAGTTATTATAAATCAATGTGTAGGACTACATTCTATATATCCATTTTTTAACCAAAGGAATAAACTTATGCTTTGGTCTCTGGGAGAAAGAGCCTTAAAAACAACCCCCAAAATACAAACTACAAAGAAGCAAATGCAGTATTAACAGTAAAGTAAGCTTGTTCAAACACAGGGTACGCTAGTATCACACAAATGTTTTAGATGCATATTTTGCAGTTCATTAGAGATATACAGATAGGGTAGCATATTTTTTTCTTAACACCATGATCGAAGACAACAAGAGAATTGTTCTTCCACTAAAAACTGTCTATAGTGATTCCTACAATTCTTTCCCCGTGAGATGGGTTCTTCAAGCAGAATAAGCGTCCCTGCTCTCTCCTATTTAAAGCGTCAGCTTTCTCTGGACAAGAATCCACAAATAGTTTCATATTAATCAAATACATATGCAAAGGAGGCAAGGATCAACTCTGTATGGTACATTCTTTTCTTGATAGTACATTTATGAAGTTGGTTTATATATATAGCATATATACATTATATACAACATATGCAATATTGTATATATATACACACATACACATATGTACATATATACAATAGCATACATGTCCATTTTTATGGTAATCTGTCGTTTCTGAAATCGTATTCTTTTGTTGTCCCTCTGTGTTCATTCTTAAGAGTTACAGATGTTCATTGTCTCCTCCTCAGAATGACGGGAAACAAGCTAATACAAAATCTCAGCACATCAGAAAAATGACAACAGATAACACAGGAATAGCTATTCCGTAATCCAGTAGAAGCAGACAAAACTCAGTATACAAAGTAATTTCAGTAGCAATTTTTGCAGCTCTAATGTAAACATCACTTATAAATTTCAAGTTCTTCCATGGTGTGAACTAGTCACTAGCCTGGAGAGTTTCATGAGGACTGCAGAGTTACCTCCTAAGCAGTTCATACTCATCTAGCAAACAGACTCACTCTAACGCTGTATTCTCCTGCCATATTTACACCATTTGAAATCTCATTAAGATCATCAGCTGTCTCATAGCCTAGTCTGCTGGACTTCTGCACCAGCTGCATTGAAGCCATAAAGCGTCTCTCATTTGGGACCTCCTATCCTTTCTCTCCTGTTGTGCGTCAGCCCAAATCAGACCCTCCCCTTACTACACTTGGAGCCTAGCCACTTTTACAGATGTGTAAGATAAGGTCTAAGAAGAACGAATTGTTTGCCCGGGGACACAGAGCAGTCAAGAGTCAGAGCTTGGAGCAGTACCTGCATTTTCTGAATTCTCCACTATAAAAGAACTCACTGCCCCACACCCCCTTTCCAGGAACTCCTCATTAGAAATTATAAATTACTTAGGCATCTTAAGATAGAAATCTCACTTACTTCAGTGAGTTTGTCTAAAAAAATTACTCACTGAAGTTTTGCAAATGGACCATATTTGCAAGCAGGGAGGTCAACTGTAGGTGAATTCTAGATTATTTCTTCAAGAGAGGTGGAAGGGAAGCAAGTTTCCCAAGACTTTTAAAGGGCTTGTTTTCAAAATTCACCAGGTAGGAGCTCATATGAGCAGACAGTTGTGTTCATAGCGCAGTCACCTAACTAGAGGTTCTTCTAAGCACGTGCATGTTGCAGGAAACATTTGCTGACTGAACTTCGTTCCTGGGAAGGGATCTTTGCTTCATTTAATAATTGGCTCTGCACTCTCTGGAGTGGCATGTAAGGCCATTCAGGTCCCTCTAGTCATACAGCATGGTAGAGGCCTACTCTTATCTTGAAAACGATTCTCTCCTAATTTTTGTAAGATTTTGTAAACACACAAACAATCCCCCCTCCCCACTCCTCCCCCTAAAAACCCAAACCACCACGAAAACCAATAAAGGTGCTGTTATATTTTGACTTAAAGAAACTGTACTTTTTTTTCCTTCTACACCATTGATGACGTTTGGCTTTATTTCTATAGTTTAGATTTTTTTCACTAAATAAAACATCTCATGGTCCTGATCCTACAAGTCTTTGGGCCATATTGAGCAGGTATCCTAACTCAGAGTGAAAATTATCTGTGGCGTATGAGTAAGAATTAGATCTTAATGTAATTGTTGCAAATTATGGCAAGAGTCCTGTATTTCATTCAGTACAAAAGCAGGCAGGGTACGGAGAGGTAGGAGTTTAGCTGGTTCTTGGTTATAGATGATCCTTACCACCCTGAGTGGCATTTACCTACATTTTCCTCTTACCTCATACTTCATGCTAGTTAGAGCCCAGTAACTGGCCCGTGGTGCTCATTAATGCCCACCCGGGCTCTTCACAGCTTGCTCCACACTGCCTTCATACTGGGCTTCTACCTGTAACATTCAGGCTACCCACCTAATCTGTATCAACCTTACTCCTTCAATAGTCTGGAAAAAAGTCTTCTCCCAAACTAAGATGTCACAAAAGTTAAGTATGCCATAACACATAGCAAAAATGGCTATATTTCTGAGAGATCAAATCCTGAGAATCAAATAGTTCCTGCCAGCAAACCCACAGCAATGTCAAGATGGCTCTGCTGGTGATGTAGGATTCTCCTTGGACAAGTCCTGCCTGGCCTGTATTATCTATAGCCCTATCTGTGGCATTTTATCATTGCAAAGCTGGAATAGTGGTGCCTCCGTGCAGCACATCTCATTAGTGCATCACTGGGGAGATGATATACTACTGTTTCTCCTGTCACATTAAGGGGCTGCCAAGTTAAACAAAATTTATGGGCAATAACAACCCCTTGCACACCCCTCTGGCCAAAGCACAGATGCATGTGGACAATTTTAGGCCCACCTTGTCGCATATTTGTCACCTTGTTTCATAATAAGCCTGCACTGAGTCAATACCCATATGTGACTGCGCCACACTAAGGAAAATGATAGTGTTTTCCAAACATTCTTGCAAACTGAGGAGCAGTCTCAAATACTGCAGATATCATCATTTACCTTTATTGGGTTTATATCATTATTTTATAAAAAAAATCTCAGAAAAATATTTGAGAAAATAAATAGACTATGATGAGCCTGCTTCATCTCCACATAATCTCTGGAGATAAAACGAGACAAACTGGAATAATGCTGGAATAACTCATCTTTCCGCAAATATTTATTCCTCGTGCCATATGGTGTCAGAGACATAAAACCTCTCCAGTCACAACTCTGATAAGCATCAGTATGAATTCTGCCTGAATAAGGACTGTTAATATGGGAAGGAAAAGGGGGTAAGGAGCCTTGCTTTGGGCCAAGAAAGATAAATGCCCATTTCTGTTGCAATTTTCAGCAAAATCTGAGCTCCCTGTTCCAGCCCAGAGGTGACAGATCTTTCTGGAACGTAATTACATTTGATAACAAACACTTCTGTCAAATGATAAAATTCAAAATCCTGTGCAAACGGCCAGCAGGACTGCATGCTCCGGATGCAGTGCAGTGACCCTCTACAAAGGACCCAATTTCACTCAGAAAACACAACTTTATACATGACACCATTTGCACCAGTTTATTTTGAAAAAATAAAAAGCACTGAGATGGAGCAGGTGAAGAAATAAATATTTTTACTCATCACAGAGACAAGAGGATGGTAAGTCTTAATGGCAAAAGAATTACCCTTCCCACACTGCTTACTTTTTTCAGAGTTGACTTATAAGTGCAGCCAGTTTTACATTTTTTCCAAAAAGGTGGGGCTGAGGAGCAGAAAGGAGCTGCTCCCGTCTGGTGTCCTCGTGATGCCCTGTACTGGCAGGGCCTTCTATCATGAGAGGATCATTGCTCCTTCCCTTGTAGTAGACTTCCCCCATAAACAGGGAGTCTATAGCAGGAGGGCAGACCCATCCACGCAAGAACAGCACGTGTCTTCCTGCAGCAGGAGCAGAGCAGTGGCCAAGCTGGAGAGGTGACAAGAAGGAAAAGGCCTCTAGAGGGACTCTTGGAATTTGTTCTGCCTCAAAAAGCATTACAATCAGGAGGACAGAAAGGAAAAACCGGAGGAAAGGACACGTGCCCTGCAAGGACACCATTATCAGGAGATGAACATATTTGCAAGTCTTTCATTTAATTGAATAGGTATGAGTTTTCCTACTTGACAAGTTGCCTTTGTTCCATTTTGCTTTTGTGACCTAATAAAAGCAATCATAGGAATGAAAGCACTCAGTATCTCTTGGCAGACTTCCTTCGGGAAAGGAAGGGTATTTCCACATCACAGCTCCAGCTCTCTCAGGCTCCCATAACGGAGCTCAAGGTGGAGTGGATGACTATCATGCGGTATTTGCAGCCACTGTTTTCTATTGTGAGGCAAAATAGAAAAATTTAAGAAGGGACTTGACTGTCTCTTAGGAGAGAGAGGTGATTTACCACTGTAAAATCATATTAGTTAGCAGAAAGGTGACAAAGGAGTCCTACTTATGCTATTCAAAAGTTAGAACATGCTCCTATAGAAACCCTTAAGTATTATATTCCACTAAGGTAATATTTTGAAAAGAAAGGCTTCTTCCCTTTTTTTTTCCCATCTGTATCATCAGTGCCAAGCCCATAAAACTCCTGTATCATCATGTGCACCCTGTTGCACAGAACAGAACTTACCTCCAACACCTCAGCCTCCCGGACTTGGCAGAAAAAAAATGTGGAGAAACCATGAAGGCTTACTGGTAATTATTTCTCATGGATATATATAAAAAAGAAAATAGCCTGTGATTTACATCAGGCTGCGTCATAGAGGGAGGTATTGGCAAAATCTATAATGATGTCAAACAGGCAAAGAACTAACTGAGGAAAAACCTGGCGGAATGCTTTTTGCAAAATTAGTTGCAACATATTTTCTATAGCTGTCATTTCAAGTAAATGACTCAGCTGTTTTAATTAGTCCCTCAAAATACCAAAAAATAAGATGAGGACATATTATAGGCTCATCATCAACGATTCTGTGATTCTGTGATCTCTTATGATCTTTTATCTTCTGGTTGGAAGAAAATTTTAAAAACCCAGAATCTGAAGGACTTTTTAAAAACTTCCATTCCCCATGCTTTCAATACAAGCCACTTTTTGCTGTTTCTAGGATGTCTGCTACCATGCTGTCTTCTGCTATCTTTTCTTTCAAAGATATGAACCACTGACAACTCTTGCTGTCTTCTTTAGGAGATACAGCTACTCAGCATCTGCGAAAATTACATCTTGACTCAAGTCAATTTAATATCAGAGACAAGTGTTCACTGCTAGCCTTGAAGGTCCCAAACACCTATTTATCCATCTTACAGGTATGCTACACAGAGTGACAGCAGCAATCTATGCAGATGGAATTTGGTGTGCCCTACAGACAGAGGTATAAGAGGAACTCACTCAGCCTGTCCTGCTCCATCTGAGATTACAAACAAAGGTTTCAATGATTAAAAAAAAAAAAAAAAGAAAAAAAAATTCTATCACAAGCACTTCTTCATTAGCATTTAGGGGAAAAACACTTCGCTATGATGTTTAAGAATGACAAGACAGTTTTGGCACGTATTTGCATTTCAGACCCAGTCTCTCTTCATACTAACAGGCTAAGTGTCAAAAGAAGGAGTGACATTACCATGATGTCTAAGTCGAAATTTATTTAATATGAAGAAGTTTACAAATTCACCATGCAATCCACCATGCTCTCAGTCTGGGACTAGCATGACTAGAGTATATCTTTGTGCTGCTTTGCCTCCAATACTCTTCCATCTGCAGAGGTCTGAGGGGTTTGTAAACATTACCTAGGATTACTTTTACTGAACACCTGTGAAGAATAAACTGATGACACAGAAGAAGAAACGCTGTGCTTTCTTATTTCCTTTTCAGTTCTCTAACCATGAGACCATGCTTTCTTTCATAACAATTTCGTATAGAAAATGTTGTTTCATCCTAGAAGTCGGCTAAGTGACTGGATTTGACTTTGAGGAACAAGTAAATGTGTGCCTTTCTGATTGTCTGATATAATTACTAAAATAGACTTTATAAATTATTGTCTGTTCATTTAGAATCAGCAGGAATGCTCTGCACCTATCTGGCAGTTAAAATAGGGGTAGCGTCAGAGAACTTGCAGATGGATTTCTAGTGAGCTTCTGTTGCAGTGAGCTTCTGCAACAAACTCTATCATTCTCTCTTCAATACTGTGCCTATAGAATTGGTGCTTTTAAGAATCTGAACCTCCTTAATGGGGACATATCCATTGCAAGCAAGTCAAACTTACTGAATCCATTAACATCTTGGCAGCTGGAAGAAAAAGCTTCTTCATTGTGAACAGCACTGAGTTTAGTAGAGGTCTTGTCTGAAGTAGCCACAGGACCCATCTCCCTCTGCGTGCTGGTCTGAGTCTCCTTCTGCTTCTTGGCTAGCTTCCTTTAGGGCATTTTGAAGAGGGGAGAAAGCAAGGTCAGTTTCCCTCGGTAACAACAAAACAAAAAAGTAAATATAAAAAAAAAATCACAATTATCCCACTTGAACTGACATGCAGGGCATGTGGCAAATAGCACGAGAGGAAAACCCACAGCTCTACAATCTAATTGTTGTGGAGTGCTAGGAACATAGTGGTGGAAGCCTGTGACACTGCACTTAGCTGTCCCTCCCAGCAACGTATCTCACACAAACCTGCATCACCCCAGCAGCAGGCGCGCTACAACGTCCTCGGAGAGGGCAACATGGGGACATCTCTGGAAGCCACTCTTGGATGCCCAGAGGGCACTGGATGAGGACAGTGATTAGAGCTGCTCATTAGGAGGCAAACGGGTTGCCGGCACCCGTCCCACGGGGACACTTACACTCCGTCTGAGATTTCCGCTCAATGCTCCAGTGCAGTGTGCAACCTGATGCTGGAACTGGAGACTTGGAGCAAGACTTTTGTCCTGTCCCCCACCAGAGGAATGAGGACAGCAGCCTGCACTAGGTTTTCCCAGACACCCAAACTGCATTAAGAACTACAGTCGGGGAGGAGCAGGGCAAGTTAAAGGTTGAAGCCATTTCAAAATTGACTATGTCCAGATACACCTATTTTGGGAGAATGGGTCTTTTCTTATTCTGAGGAGACATCAAAAAACATTGGCAAGAGCAGCAAACGCTGCCAGCTCTGAAAACAGTAACAAAGCCAAGAATATAAGAGGCTCCTCTTTTGCAAACACAGCTAATAAGAAGAAAATGGAGAAAAGCAGAGAAAGTGAGCTGCTAAGCTTCCATTGACATTTGACTGCCCTGTGCTTCATTCATATCAGGGAGCAAAACTGTTTAAAAATGAATGTGTGACATTCTCCAACCCACACCTTGAAAAAATATCACACAAATCCCTAGCACCAGCAAAGAACTTTGCTTACATGGCTTCCACAGATAAGAAAATAAAACAAAATAAAAGGGAGAAAAACAGATTACTGTAAGTAGGAGCTTTAGTTCTCTTTTTTCCCCGTAACTCAAAGAAAAAAAAAATCCTAACAACTAAATCATTTTGCAAAGAGGTTTTTCTTCACTAAAATGCCATTCTTATGGTAAGTACTACCCATCTTTTAAACTTCATTAGATTCTTAAAAGGATATTCCTTGCAACATCATTCAACAAGCTTTATTTGCTCACAGCAGATGCCTGAATGGCATTTACAAGCAAGTTCAAGCACGCAGCTGAGCCCCAATCCTTTGTGATGGGCCAGCTGCATTCGTTTGCAAGGAAGGGTCAAAGAGAACCAAAACCTGTGTCTGTACCTATGAGAAACTACTATTTAAGGCAAGCTGCATGATCCAGACCAGGATAGCACAGGTTTATGGAGAAATTCCACTGTCTGCTGCAAACTTCTGAACAAATGCATCCATCTCATCTGCTCAACCAGTTAAGGTTCAGCCTTTAGCGGTTTGAATTCAAACCCACAGCTATTCAAATCGGCTGCACAATTACAGAGTGCCGTTTGCATATTCAGCCCTCACAAAATCTCCATGATGTACCTACTTCTGCAGATAAAGATGCAAACGGTGGAACAGGACTCGCATGATGAAGCAAAAAGCTGGCATCTAACAATGTTAAAAGCTTTCCTTTCAACAGACAGCAATGCTAGCACAGTTGGGTTTATTAACCATGGGGTACAGCCATGCGAGCCCACTACTTTGCGTGCTGTGGTACCTGAGGTAACAACAAAAGTCTTAGAGTGTATTAACTCTGGTCTGCACTTACTTTAATCCTTTATATTTGCTAATCATACATGGCTATGTGGCTTCTTTGGCAACAGGAATTAAAATTTCTCAGTGGGAAACACTAATCCAAAATGCAGAAATCCTTAATAACAAGCACTCCGGACTGCTGGGGTGAGCCACTACAGGTTACCACTACTGATGTTTAAAAATAGTGAGTCAAAAAGAGTGACCTCCTTAGTAAAACCAGATTAAATTATTTGTGGCAATAATTACCTTCAAGTTCCAATGCCCAGTACCTTTTCAGAAATGCCAAAAAGCTACAAAGAACTGGAACTGACAAACTCATTTTCCCTTTCAGTGAATGAGCAGTAACATGTTCTGCATGTTCTAGGCAGAAAAAAATCCCCCCAAACCCAAGCCCACTACTCCCCAAAGGCCTGCTTACAAAAAAAAGCCCTGTGCAAAGCAGTTCTACCTGGTCCTGTAGAAGACAGAGAGGCCCCTAAAACATTGGCTTGAATGCCTAAAAAGAAAAGGTGACATGAGTTTAAAGTTCTCAATCTAACTCGCATCAGAGCAGTAGCACACACAACCCAGCCGCCTCTCGCCACCGGCTGCCCAAGCTCGCGAGGGTCAGGCTCAAGCACCCCAAAGAAGCCATGTGGAAAGTTGCTCTGCATTTGCCAGCACTATGATTTTCCTTCAACAGTGCGTTATCCACTTCCACCTTCCTCCCGTTCACACCCAAGAACATAAAAATTCTTCATCTAAATTTAGAGGAAGACAGCTCTCTTTTGAGGATTTCCGAGCTAAGCTTGCCAGACACATCAAGGGGCTCACGGTTTCTAAATGTGCCTTTTCTGCCACAGTTACATGTCTGCATGGAGTGGCAGCACAGGACTAAGCCTATTTGGTCCTTGCCATCATTATAATTCACAGAAAGGATTATAAAATCAAATGTCTAGCACTTTCTAGAATGTTAAGGATATAGCTTAAACCCACAGCTAGGTAGAGGTTTATTTGCCAGCACGTCAAAATGTCTTTGGAATTGGAAAAGCATTTATCTGAGAAGGCTGGTTCCAAAAATAGGACACTTCAAGAGATCTCCATGCATCACTGACAAGCTGCATCAGGGACACGGCTCCCGCTCTCCTCACTGACCAGCTTCCCCCAAACACAACTGCCGCAACAGCAGTCGCTGCATTAGTGTCAATCACGGGCTGACTGCCGGCTGTCGGGAACGCGCGCCCGGCAGAGGCTGTCACCGGGCATGGAGAAGACACTTTCTGTCTCATGCATTATGCAGTCAAAAAAGGGAAGAAATACAGGACCAGGCAGACACTTGGAAGCAGTGGCGGTTACAATTAACACACGATGAAGAGACTGAAACGTCAAAATGTCAATAAGGTGAAATTAATGGCTGTTTTACATTTAAGTGTAAGGGAAATGCGCCAAAAAGACGGTAGCAATCCATGGATGGAGTTTACTGGGTTGCCCTTTTCAATTCAATGAAGAAGGTTCATAAGTGAAGAGAAGATGCATATTGGCACTGTACACACAGGAGCGATGAGACAGAAAGGTGCTCAAAGTGGAATAAAAAAATGAAACTAGCTGTATGATCAGGGAGCTGAAGCTGACTGAACTAAAGCAAAGACAAGAACTATTAATAGAGAACCTAAGCTAAGTGTGAATTTTGAAAAAATCATGGAGATTTGATTTAGTTGTTTTTGGAACCTCTCTTCCTAAAAGAGAATAAATGTAAAATGCTGAAACATTTAACAGAAATTGCAGGATTTCCAGCGTAACAGTCAAGGACTGTATCAACTAGAGGACATTTGCTACTACAGCTATAAATCAGAAAGTTCAAGTAATATTTTTATTTTTAAGTGTTTGCAGGATCAGATTCCAGTTTGGTAGAGGTTTGGATAAACTTCAGGAATTATGTTTTAAAAGCAGCTTCAAACATTTTTCTGATTTTTTGTATCAATTCTACATGCATGAATGTTAAATCTCTAAGTGCCACTCCAAAAGAGCTCTTGTATGCTGACAGATTTAATTTTAGATATCTCGCAAGGACGGATTATATATACTATAATGTAGATTTGCATGCACAGGTAATTTAGACATTAGGTATAGATCACGTAAGTTAAACATGAAATTTCCTCCTACAGACAGAAATTGCTTAGTGCTATGATTTCCAATAAGCAGTTTAAGAAGGCTACAAAATCCGATTCCTACTAGATATTTGTGCATAGTATCCTGCCAGGAGGATGTACACCATTTATTGTGAAATCTTCACAAATTCAAGGAAGGCCATGCAAACGCACAACGGGGCGCACTGGTTAAATAGTGCTTCTACCAAGGAGGATTCTCCTCTGCTATCTCTATACTAGATCACAAGCTCCACTTGCATGAAGAGTTTCATGTTGGTGTAATAAAAGGTAGCCCCTACACGTGGCACCATGATCTGCAAGATGCAGAGTAATCCTTTTGCTCTAATTCAGGACTGCTAAAGCCTCTGCTGTAGTACTGTGCCCACTTCTGCAACACTGCACCTCAAATAGCATGCGTACCAAAGGGAGATAGTCAAATGGAGACCAACAACACAGGTAAATCTACAAGGAAAGGCCAAAGGAAGAACAGAGCTTTAATCTAGATGTAGGAAGATCAAATAGAGCTGAAAAGTCTTCAAATACCTGAAAGGGTACCACGACCACAGGGAAGGTGCTCTCCCGGTCCACAGCGGCTGGGGAAAGAGGGATGGGGGCTAAGCTACAGGAAGGGTCGCTCACTTCAGACTTTGGAAAAACTTCATGCAGTAAAGACTGCCCTTCACTCACACAGACTGTGTAGGCAGGCTGTGAAATCTATCACTGGAGGCCTTCAAACACAGAATGACAGGACTGGAGCAGGTGAAAGGGGCAGCACGGCGGTGGCAACAGGGACCTCCTCCCCGCTCCTGCACCCTGCGCTGCCCCGCTCATGCTGGGAACCGCAGTCCTCGTGTCTCCTCATCTAACACCAGTGGGGCTGAGGGACATCCTCTGGCCTAAGCACATCTGCAGGTTACTGCTTCTCCCCACCGTTATAGAGCAAACCCTCTGCTTATCGGTAAGTGCCGAGATAGCTGTGCCTGTACCTTTTTCGTGTCTGCCACAGTGAAGCCAAACTCAGTGTGGGTTATTGCAGGAACGTTTTTTACAGGGTCTGCGAGTGTGTGATAGGACTTGAAAATGCTTCCTTGGGCAAATTAATCCCTGTATTTGTGGAGGACGTTTACCCACAACGGTACCAACTCTGGGAAAGTCAGGTGCACGTAAGAGTCAAATAGGAGAAGAATATATTTGTTTAAACAGATTCACCAAGCACATCCTTCTTCAAAATTTAGGCTAACAGTTACCACAAAGATATGTTCTAAATAAAAGCTCACATACTGCCTGGATCTGTTTTTTTTTTTTTTTTTTTTTTTTTGGCCTTCATTAGACTGGCGTAACTGCTGATTCATTATTCTGTGCTTCAGCAGCTAATGAAAAATCAGTTTCTTCTGAAAAGTTTGATTTAACAAGCTGACCTGCACAGGCAGATCCCACCTTCCACGGGAATATATGGAGATATTTATGCATGCATGTGTTTATGCAGAATTACACTTGTAAATGAAATCAATGGTTTATTTCTTTTCAAATGCCCCCGCAGAAGTTAGAAATAAATTCAGTACATATATTCTGTTATTTCAAAAAAACGCAGGTATAAATTTAGCCTAATGCCTTTGATAGAATCTCTCCCACCAAGAGAAACTCCTGGCTCAAACTTCTGCAACAGTTACAATTTGTATGAAGTTACAGTGGGAGCTTCATACATTGCAACGGGGCCCTCAGCACTCTTGCCAGATCAGGGATAACGGAAAGCAACCGTCACTGAGAGTCCTTTTCTCATAAACAACATTAAACATTAAACTAAGTGCTTGTAACACATACATGAGTCCATCTACCGCCAGAAGGATTTTTCCTCTGGTCTGATATCACTCTTGATCAAATGTCATTCTGTAATACAGTATGTATGATCAGCAGAAAGAAAGAAAGAAAAAAACACAGAAAAGAAAGCAATGTCAACTTTTCCATTCCTTACCCTTGTGAGGAAATAATATAACATTGATAAGGGCCCTGCAAGGAAAAATACTAAAAATATGTTGTAAATGAGGTGTCTGTCATTAAATGTAAAACCTACTTTAAAGTAGATATAATGCTGTCTATGTTTTACAGTTTCACCCAGGCAAAACAAGAAAAACACTCAGGCATTGCCAGGCCATACTACATTCGCTGCAATGTTATGGCCTATAATTTCAACAGCACAAATTTGAACTGTATCTTACAATGTGTTAAACTAATGGGCAGCGTGAAAGAACTAGCAATTCTGTAGAAATCTCAGGTAAAATTTGTTATAAGCATAAATACAGAGTAAATCCTTTGAACGGTTTCCAGCATCATCCTGATGACAGTGATGTAATCAGTGCATCAGGACTGCAGCTCATAACTCTCCGTCTTTCTCTTCCCATCACAAAGCGAGGAGGATTTAACTAACATACCCTGCACTGGCAGAGCAAGTTCTCTCCAAGGATCTCAAAGTGCCTGCAACTAACTTTTAACAATGGGTATATATATTGAGGTGCACAGAATGATGCCAGTCTTGCATGCTGACCAAGTCAGGAAAAGAGGGCTCCCGGGTTTGTATTTCCACTTAATCTGTGCTAAAGATCTTTACAGCCTTCTCTTTCAGCCGCAGTAATATCCCTTCCCATACGTTGTAGGCAGCTTTTTATGAAGTGCTGCCATGCAAAAATCCCATAGCTATTTACTCAATAAGCACAAAGTAGCATGAAGAGGAGCTTCTCTCAGAAATGAATGAATATTTCTGACTGGCTTCTCTGAAGTTACAGGTACTCTATCATCTTACAGAATCAGATTTTACAGTCCTAGAGAGCAACAGAATGCAAGAGATTTTGGTCCCTAACAAGAAAAAATGGCAGCAAAGCAGGTGCAAAAGGGTTAAGAAGAATTATCCGAAAGCAGAAGAGAATTACTCCAAGAAGCACAACTTTGAAGTCCAGAAATTGAAACTAAACATAAAGCAATGTAGTCCATATGGCTGTATTTAAAGGTCTGCCAGCAGATCTATTTGAGAACCTGCTTTTCAACACTGATAACTCATTCAATTCAAATTTGCTTCAGGACTAAAACATTCATATGAGGTCATAGCATGGAAATCAATTCTATTAAAAAAATCTCTCTATATACATATTGCTGCTCTTATTTTCACGACACTTCAAATAAACTTAAATCAAACCTCTTTCTGTTCATAAGAGGCTCTGGCAATTTCTATCAGCTTTGCCTAAGATAGCAATCCTTAGCAATTTAAGATTTTCATCTGCAATCACAATAAAAAATCCCATTTCATGTGGAACGTGAAACTAAATAAAACTTAACCATATGCTCCTTAGCGGATCCTCCTGCTTTCTTCTTTCACCAGTGTCCTTCATACCCTGATTGTTGTTCAGGAAAAAATGAGTCGTTGGTTTTGCCAGATCAGGGATCAGGCCAGACTTTGATCAGAAATCAAACGCTGATACGTACAGCTTGATGCCACTGGAAGTATCGTGTGATGACTACTTAGGCACTGCCTCTACTGTAGTGATGTCCCAGCTAGTAGAGCTCACGCGAGGTGGGATACCTGGAATGCCATGAGCACAGAACTACTAATGATCTCGCCACAGAAAGCTTCGAGTGCTGTGTTGGGGAAATGCAATTATATATTTTTGGCAGCTGGAGCTCCTATCTCCATCCAGTCCTTCAGCAGGTGTTACGAACATCTAAGCTTGCCTGGAGGCACCTCTGACTTCCCTCCACTGTGACATACTGCCTAATAAACATCCACCTTATTAAATCTTTACAGCCCATCACTACTGGCTTCCGCAGCTGCCAAAACTCCGTGCAACCTTACGCTCGGGTGATCTCCAGAGGCTTATTTCTTCACTTTTCTTGAGTCACACTCCTGATCCCTGAAAAAAAGTTCTAACATATGTGATCCATCGAAGCCACTGCAAGATAGCAAAGAGATGGCTTGATGATGTCCTTACTTTCTCTGTAGCAGAGTAATCCTCAGCTGCCTACTTAAAGCAACGCTGTGGCTCAGTTGTAAAAAGGGGTCAGACAGGGCTCAGAATTTGATTCATGGTTCATAAATACATAGAACTCAAAATATAATAAAGCAGGGAACAGTCTGACCACACACTGCCTGCAGGAAGAAGACAAAATGGTAATGGAAGACTGGGGACTGAATTTTATAGGCAACAGCGCTCACTGGTCACAAGGAAACAAAAACAGAGTAGCAGTGCAGACATTTGAAAGAAACATGCAGAAGAGGAAAGGCATTAGCATGACAAGCAACTAGCTAGTAGCACCTATATGCTAAAACTGTCCCCCAATTTAACTTTTATTGAAATCATTCTGAATTTTAACGGACAAATTCTGTTCTTGGAGAATTGGTGTGGCATCTAGAGAAAAGGGAGTTACTCTGCATTTACTGTTACGTAACTGAGCAGAGTCATGCCTCATTAGCGCGGGTTTCAAACGCTGCCCATTTAGGGTCTCTACACAGTTAACAAATGGAAGCGGCTCCTCTTTCAATTATTTTCTGATCTCTCACCTCAAGAAGTAAAATCACTCCAACAGGTACATAAGGAGTCTAATACTTAACTCTTTCACTCTATTCTTCAGAGTTAAACCAACTCATATAGAAAAGAAGGCTGAAGGTCAATGCGCTTCTTGCTCTGACCGGCTGAACACCTTACAGACGTGCCACAGGACAAAGCCATGAGGTCCCGACGCAGATACACGTGGGAACAGGCAAAGGAGATTGCCAGGGTTGACAGACTCCAAGGATCAGTAGGACAGACACGGTCATTCGGACAACTTTGTCTATGCCAGAGGCCTGGAAAGTCAGGCAGGTTGATGCTTTTGAGGGAAAGGCTTAGGTATGTGATACGGACCTGCTCCTCCCAAAAGTAGCAGCTGCCTTCTTCATCCCTCCTCGCTGTCTGATGGCAGCAAAGGCATCCAACCCAACTCTCCAGGACTCCTTCTTCACACGATTGCTCCAGTTCTCCTCTCCTCCTGATCCTCTGACAACTATGATCACGGCAGAAACAGCCTGGCCCTGATTTCTTTCCAGCCCCTCAATCGTTAGGTAACAGCTGGCTCTGAAGGTATTATATGTAAAGCATTTTCACATGCCTTAACAACTGCCCAAATTATGCAGCACTGTCATTAGGACTGGAAAGGTGATTTACATCTGAAAATCTGAGGCAACTGAACATCAGGGGTGTAATCTGAGACTCCAGATCATGCAGCTCTAGGAACAGAATCACTCGCTGAGAAAATGTTGACTCCTAGTTGCTGGCTATCAAAAAGAACAAGCCTATTCAGAAACCTTATGTTTTTAAAAAAGCTTATAGTCGAGGCTGAGAAATTCCTGACAACAGCTTTTAGGTGTGAATTTCCCTGCAATCTGGCTACATATGGTGGACAATGAAAAATGGTGCAATTGGGACACTCTGCATTTGTCCATTAGCACGTGAAGAACTGTAAAGGTTAACTGGCATATCTACGTCCATTTGCACAGGTTGTTTGCAGGCACAGTTGTAGATGCAATGGTGAAACAGGGAAAATAAAACAGATGTGAAGTGAGAAAACAAAATGCAAGCTGCTAGAAAGACAAGGATACATGAAAAGGTTAAAAAAAAGAGTGGTAAAAGAAAAGCATACAAGAAAGCACAAATTACAACAGTGAGCATGCTCAAGAAACATCATCTCCAGCTAGGTACTTACAAGTAATAGGAGTAGGAATATGCGTTTCTTCTAAACGTTGACAGCCAGTCAGATGAAGAAAATGTCCAAAAGGAAAAAAAGGAAAAATACATGATTAGATTTATATGAACTCGTAAAGTACCTGTGCTGCCATTTGTACTGAGTTATTTTTGTCCTACACTTTTTTCCAGCAGGTGCATGTGCTTAAGAAACGGATACTGAACTGGAGATGGGAAATAGGGTCCTGTTGCCGCTTCTCCTACGAACTTGTTGCACCACTACGAATAAGTCACTTCCCCTTTTTCTGCCTCAATTGCCCCACATCGAAAGAACAGATAGTGAGACTTACCTTTGTTTGTAAAGTGCTTTCACATTTTTGGAATGGAAAGCACTATGTAAAAGCTATTAATATAAATAACAACAAATAGGAAAGTGACAATGAAAAATGCTGCAACTTTGGAATATTTAGACAATGAACAAACTGTGTACCGACAAACCAAGCCTCATTAAACTCTAAACTGCAAATAGTTTCTTAACAATTCCAGCAACACTATGTATTTAGAGCTGATCTCTGGCTATGCATCAGCTTCCTGTGGCATGGCAACTAAACATTTCCTTTTACAGTTTTCCACAGTAGGCTTCAGAACCTTTTTGATACAGAGCAGCACTACAAAACGAATCATGGCAAGCCGTTACAAGCTAAGCGGGGATGTCTTCTTCCCTTTCAGAACCGGAAAAAAGCTTCTCTGAAAAGGCCGTTGCATTACAGACGTCACACAGGTTACTAAAGGTTAACAGCACGACAAAAGGGAGGGACAGTCTTGGGACAAGGAAAAAAAAACCAACAAAACAAACGTCAACTTATTATACAACTTTGATATTGCATCCGCCCTGAAGACACTACAAATACCAGGAAGCACTTACAAAGTGCAGGCGCTGGGTACAGGGGTTCACTTTAATGGTTGCTCTGAACACAACTTCCATGAGGACACACGGAAACCAGACGCAGTGCACCCTTGGGGTGCGCAACCACCCTCGTTGGCATGGATATACTGAGCTTACCGCCATCTGCACAGTTGCCTTGTCTTACCTTCTCGTGCCGGAAATACCTCCTTCCCCCTTTCCTCATATATTTAATCTGTTGCCCCAGGAAGAGATTTCTCCTGGGAGAAGACAGCTGATTACAAATGCACAGCATGCCTATGCTGCGACGACGTGCATTTTGTCTGGTTGTGGCTCTAGCCATAAACCTGAAATTCAGGCTGTCTGCCTGATCTACCCCAAGCTATTTGCGTGACACCACAAAGTATTATAGCATAATGGTGGGATCCTGTGAAACTCAGAAATTCTGCATGAGACAGCAATACCTCAATTGAAATGCAGTGACTGACCCTGAGCTTCACTATGAAATTCTGAGTTCCTTTGAACCTCTAAGCAAAGGCAAAATCACCAGGATGTGCAAAATGAGAACCAATGCAGCTGAACCCGCCCAGAAAACATCTCATTAAGCCCCCTGGATACGCCAGCATAGTTTCACACAGCACTGCCGACTGTAATCGTTCTGCTGAACAGCTTGTAATATTTTTCTGTTTTTCCCATGTCTCAGCCACCGCACGTATGTGATCACACGAGACACTCACTTCTCATTAAAAAAATGCCTACCCCTCAGGGCAGCAGAGGAAAGTTTGGAAAGACGAACTCCCTAAGGATGGAAAATAAAAGAAGGCAAAGAAATGGAGGATCATATTTACGAAACGGCCATGCCATTTTGGCTCCAATTCTCCCAAAATATACTGCCTAAGACGTGTGCTTACTAAGCAGTATTTGAAAACTAAGTGTTAAAATTGGTTAGAGTTACAGAACACAGAAAACATGACTTGCCCCATCAGGCAACCTGCAAACCCTGCCCATCAAACAGAGAGAACGTGCTTCTTCAATAAGGACACAAAAGCGATAGGGGTCACTGAATATCCAAATACCTCTCTAGTAATTCTATCCTATAGCTCGGGTATGTTCTGCTTAAGAGGCTGTTGGGTTTTACTTAATTAGTTTTAGGTAACAACCTAAATCCTAATCCAGAATAAGAGCTGACTTTTCATAAATGGAACTAATCCGAGACCCTACATAGCCCCAAATCTCCCTTTTTGCTACCAACAGCAGTTTAAAAGACTTATTTACTGTACACCCGTGACAGGCTGTCTGATCCTATTTATTCAGTCCTATACTTAAAGGGGTCACTAGAGGCTTTGTCCTCTCAAGCACACCAGGCTGAGAAGTGTCACACTCCTCACTCCAGGGAAACGCGAGTCACAATCACGGAGGAGTTAAAACTGTCCAGACGGGATCAGAACTGACCAGACTCTAGTCCTTTTCGGGGGCAAAGTCGAAGGGTATTTCCTCAAGAAAAAACGTTTACAAATGCCTTTTTTTCCTTTGTTTCAACGTGTTTTTTTCTAAACAGTCATTTATTATCTATTACACAAAAATATCTAACCAATACTAAGGACAAACAAACAAGCTCCTTAGAGCATTAGCAATGCCTTCATACGATAAATATGAGGTATTTCAAGGTACAGAACTACTAATGAAAGAAGGCTGTGCTGCCTTGAGCTATGTGGGAAATTGCACCCAAGTGGGCACTGATCACCAGCTCACACGCTGCAAATTAACAGGCTAAATTACTTTGCAGCTATTTGTGTGTCCATATCCAGATGCTGATATTGGAGCTGTAAATATGTAACTCATATAGCTAGTGGGGCTCCAAAACCGGGAAAACAAATTGTGTTAACTGCTTTGATTTTAAATACCGTATGACACTTAGTCATACTTAAAGCAGGAATTTATTGTACACATACACACTTTTTTTTTTAACGTAGATGTACACATATACCCAAACACAAACATGCTGGAAGGCTTCAGGTGACCTCCAGGGTTCAACTAAAACTTTTTAGATAACACAACACAAAAATCACACTCAATTTTGCAACTGCATAAAAATTCCAGCTGGCTTAATTTAACCTCATACAACTGACTGAACCCTGCAAAACAGTTGGCAGTCCCCAGAAATTTGCAAGAGATTTTGAATATAATCTATGGAAATATGAGCCAGTTCTTACCCAGGCCTTGTATGTGTAAGATTCAAAAAAGTATACTTATTTGGTATGTCTCACAAAAGCAAAAAGCAACTTCTGAAGATCTCTCTAATCCTAATCTTAGACCAGTTTCCTTCTTCTCTTAGTGTTTCTCCCCTCTTCTACTCTCTCTCCTTCCTTTGCTCTCTGCACTGACTAACAAAGTACTTAATCCAGGAAAATCAAGTGGGTTGTGTCCATTACTGATGAGCTATACTGCCCTGGACCATGAACAAATGTCACTATGATATTTTCCAGGTCCATTTGAAGGAAATGCCTCCAGTTTGTCTAATTAAATTACTTTTCCACATTGTTGCCTTGCAAGGTAACGCTGTCTCATGCTAATGCCTCGGTGAACTGAAAAGAGGATCTTGTTTTAAAGTAAGGTTAATACAAAACTTGAACCACGAGGTTAAGCTCCTAGTATTTCTGTTTGAGAAAAAGACAAACAACTTTGTTGTTAAACCGTTCGCTCAGACGAGTGTGAGCTTCCAGCCCCGCTCCTCCAGAAGTTCAGATCAATCCATGGTCCAAAGCAGCCTTTCCTTTTATAAAATCTGGTCCCTGTCCGCATTAGTTTACAAATGAAATGAGCCTGGCAAGCTTAAGTTCATCTTCAGGGAACATTTGTCCATATGTACTTCCAAGGCTTGATTTGCCGTGAGCTGTGGTGTCTGTTCAAGAGGAACCCAAAACGCCACAGTCAGCAGGTCTCTCAAGGTGCGCCGGGCAGACCTGCAGAATGCCAGTCTCCACAGCCTCTTTGGGCACTGTTTGCTTCTAAATGGGAAAAGACTTTTGAAGTCGATAAGCACGTTTATTTCTTATAACAGTACCTATTCTAGTGGGTAACTGTGAATGACAGCAAACAGGCAAAGAGAATTACACACTGCAGTCTTGAAGAAAGGTGTCCAGGTTAGCAGAGTCTATGCCAAAGCCAGACGTAGTCAAGCTTTCTCCGTGGGATATCACAACCCAATTCATTCAACACCGCTGCTGCTGGAAGGAGTCCCCAGGGGAACACGCGCGATGTAGTAGGGACCAGCTCAGGGCAGCAATAGCTCAGGAGCGTTTATGTCAAGCTCCACTGTACACTGCAAAAGGACCCCAGATGCCAGTCCCGAGAACTCGTCCTGCATCATAAGTGTTTCCATTCCGGGTTTGTTTGGTTTGTCTGTTTGAATGAAATATTAACTCACGCTGCACCTCTCATATAGCTGAAACATCGTGAAAATCAGATGTTGAAAAACCTAGATTTTGATAGATCTGCCCATCATTTACTTATCCGAGTTAAAAGTGCATCAGAAAAAACTACTGGAAAAATCCAGTTATTTTGCATACCTGCTAACTAAACTATATAATATGGTCTCTAGGTTTCCTCCTTACCCCTAATGAAGGTTTGCTGTATTACACAGCAAACATGTATAGTCGATTTAAAAAAAAAAAAAAAAACCTTTTCAATCTAACTAAGCTGTGAACTTCTATTTTTGCTTTGAAGGATTCTTACTTATTGATGACCTTGCTTTTTGCTGGTTCTCCAGTTTCCAGTGGAAGACAGAAGATTAAGCAGAAATGACAATCATGGGATCAAGATATTTCCATATCGATGCATTCATCAGAACCAGAACAATAAAGATCTCCAGACTGTTTGGAGAAAATTAATTGCCCACAGTTCTACTTCTGAGAAATTCCTTAACTGTTTTCAAACTTACAAAAAAAAGAAAAAAAAGAAAAGGAAAAACTGGCTGCTATCACTCCGTCTAGCTGTAAGAGTGCCACATTAACATTTTTAAAGGTGTGAAAGACAGTTTGGGAAGATGAGTTTTATGTGAAATCTGATGACACAGAAAAACGGCCTTCGGTGAACAGCTAAAGGAGATACTGTAGCGTACACAGGACTGGCTTTTAAAAAAAGGCTTAAAAAAAAAATTAACATTGAGATTCTGTTCTGTACCTGCAGCTAGGTGGCCAGCTTTGTTTCCAAAAATCCTGAAAATGAATCCATGGTCTACTGCAATGAAGATTTGGCTTTGGGATTTCCTTCCTGATCAGAAGATATTGCAGACACCCTTCAGAGAGGAACAACCTTCCTGTGTTTCAATGCCTCCCTTTTTTAATGCCTCCCTTTATTGCCACTGAAGCATTCACGAGTATACGTACACTGGCAAATTAGGCCACTTCCAAGTTCTTCCTGTTTCAAACTTTTAACTCCACATTTGAGAAAATTCCTTTGAAGAAAATGAATGTTATCTCCATAGCATTTAAAGTATATTTCAAATTTCACTTCCATACATGATTTTATAAAGTTTCATCCCCCTATAAACTATAATTCTCAGAAAGACTTCTAACCCTCAGCAAGATGTAATATCCCCGCTGAACACTAGCTGCAAATAAATTGCTGTGTGAAAATATGTGCCATCAAGGCTCACTTGGGAACAAGACCCTGTTCTAGACATGAATACAGGCTTTTGATTAAAGAACAAAATAATAAAATTGAAAAGAAATTTTCTTCAGCTCTCTTTACTGCCTTTTGTAACCAGTCATTAGGCAATTTCACGGGAACACAGGGTACCTGCGTTACTCCTTTGAGCTAGAATGCAAAATAATAAATATAAAAAATATAGATACAACCAACACATTTTAAGTAAAAAATAAACAAGCTGAAGAAATGTGCAAAGTACAGAGAGACTCCATACTGCTAGGCAGCTCAATTTCCATTTTATGCCCCCTTTTCACATATGCTCACGCATGCACTGTTATGTGAAGGTCTGAGATTGCTTTATAAAACCTCTCCACCTTTCTTGGAAGTATTTTTCACTCCTCAGCTTTGTTTTTTGCAGTGGGATAAAAGGACCTGCTTCATACCAGGAAATTTTTCTGGCAAATTCTCATCCAGTGCCTCGAAGTCCCTATTTCCAAGCCTTTATTCTAGTCCCTAGTGACTACTCTGCATCCAAGCAGCAACCCAGATGCTGCAAGCAGCTTTACTGCTATAGTCCTGGGCCCATAGTGGACAACCTCAGCAGTGCTTCCTTCACCTTCTGTCCCCTCCGCTATCTTCTTCTCCAGCTCCTTTAAGCTTTTCCGTAATCTCACTCACTCTCCTGTTCTCATCTCTAATTTCTTACTTCTCTGTTTTTTTCAGTGCTCAAGTCTGTCCAGTTTTCAAATCTCACTATCTTCTTGTCTGTTACCACAACTCTTTTCTTCCCTTGAACAAATACACATGTATCCTGCTCGCATCTAATCTGAATGGAACAGCTTTGACCACATTATCTTCCCTCCCTCTACCTTTTACTGTATTCCTATGCTAGCTTCAACTTATAACTTTGAATACGAGCTACTTACCGTCATTTTCAAGGATCTTGATGCCTCACCCCCTCCCTACCTATCACTTCAGAAGATACTATTCTTGTCTCTGTTGGCTGTGAGCTCTCATCACTATGAGCCTGCAGTGGGCATTTGAGTTTTCTCCTGTGCTTTATTTTTTAGTTCTCTGTAGATGACTGTAAATATATCACATTATTTTAAGACAAAATCTGGTTTTCCCTCTGCCGTTAAAAAAGAAATCTTGTCTTTATTAGACTACACCTGTGATGAGTGCAGGGGCTAACATGCTGACTTCCATTACCTTGTTTTCTCTTTGTATCTCCCTGTTCACCTTCACCTGCTGTTCCTTCTCTTAAATCATTAACTCTCAGGAGTAACAACTCTTCCCGTGTTGTTCATGCAGTATCTGGCAAAACAGGCTTCTCTTCTGTGACTACGATTTCTTAGTGGTACTGTTATGTGCATAAATACTAACAGCTGCCCCCTGCAACCTAAAAGGAATATTTTATCTCGACTAAATTTATTCTTCCTATTGAGATAACAGCACTCCAGCCAGGAGATCCAAGAAGGAAGCAAAGCAGAAACTTACCTTCTCTTGATGGTAAGCATTGCTCCTAAGAGGATAATAACAAACATCAGAAGACCAGCTATAACTCCGGCCATTTTCACTGTGCTGTCAACTTGCTTTTCTGGTTCCACTGCATTGGAATTCTGGGTGGAAGCTCCTTAAAAGATGGAAGGAGAGGAAGGAGGAGATAAAAAAAAAAAAGAACTTGTAGAAAAAACCTGAAATGATCCAGTTTTAATATTCATTTCAAAGCCTAATGACATACTTGCAACCTAATTGCAATAGACCAATTGTCCGTCTAACCTAATCCTTTGCCTTTAATAATGGCAGATATTTCCAAGTAAAGTGCAAATCCCAGGGTAACGCAACTGACAGTAATATTTTACAATATTGTACTGCAATGGGGTATTTATTCAGCATACCCAGAAGCAGGAGGATTATTAGAAGCAGGTACAATTATCATTTCAGTTTAAGCAGAGATGCAATCCTTACTCATTGAAATAGTGAATGTAAAAGTCTGCAGTGAAATATCCTGTAATAGTTTTGCAGAATCATTTTTTTTCTTTTAGAATCAGGATGCATTGGTATATCTCACTACACTGGAGTCTTGGCTTTTACAAATATGTAATCACAATTATGCATGTAACAAGTGTTAATCTAACCCACAGAGCATCCTCTTCACCTTCTCATCTATTCTATGCATGAGTTCTTCTCTGGCCTAGGCAAGATAACGTGATTTCTATCTCTATAAAAAAAAAAAAAGGATAGCCTTACACACCTAAAAATAAAACATATTTAGAAACTTATTATTTGTAAAGCATTTTCTCTTTTACTTACTTGTCGTGATCTGACTTCAAGGTTCTGTTACTCCTGCAATAACTGCAGAATGTGACCCTCTTCCCTGCTGCTAGGACCACTCATACAGTGCTTATTATATACCTTGAGCCTGCTGACTTTGCTACCTGCTGTACAGAATTTTTTCCAGATACAGCTTAAAGCACGGAGTTTGATTTAGAAAGCCTCACAAGATCTGAGTCATGGCTATTCTAAAGACTAAATGACCCTATTTTTATTATAGGCCTAGTATACTTAACTCCTGGAAAGAACATTGCTATTGAATTTGATGAAGTTACAAGAATTCATGTTATGTGAGATCACAGTCTTATCTTGGGCTTTACCTTGACTGTTGAATTCAGCCAAATCTTCCTCTACAGTTTGAACATGGTAGGAAAAGGGAATTAAAGGTGAAAAGAGAGAGCTGTCATCAGAAAACTGTCATGTTTTGTTCTTCAACACTCTGTGTTGTTGACTTCCAGGAAAAGCTGAATCAGTTCTGTTCATGAAGCCAGACGCTTAGGGACATGAGATGCAACTGAATCAAGTTTTTGGTGAGACAACAGAAAGCCTCACTAGGTTATTCTTGTGACCATTTGCTACTTGTTAATCTGCATGTTTCAGAAGGTCTCTGTCTGCAAACATGACTCCCAATGGTTACCATAATCAAATCGAGGAACTGAATACAGAACTAATATACTCTCAACAGGGCCTGAGCTGATGGACTGCAGGGGGATGAGGAGCTGATCCTGAACAAAGTAGGAAATTCTCCTCTCAATCGTATCTTGAAGAGTAAATATAAAACCACGAAACATAAATGCAAGACAAGAAAACTAACTGCTTCCAATTATAAAGATACAATTTTGTTTTCCCTAAAGCTGAACTGTTGACCTAGTTTACTACAGCAAAACACAGTATTTAACCAAGCAAAAGTTTTCTTTGCTGTTTGAAGAACACACATGATTTTCAACTTTCTGTCCCTGACCACTCTACTGATCTGCTATGTGTTGTGTTTTTCTATTCAATTAGAGCTCACTGGTAAACTTTTGTGTGCACATCTCTGAAAAGCATTAATGGGACTCCATACGGTACTAACTGCATATTACCATCTATGTTTGGCAACATCTCTGGCAATCTTGGAGCAAAGCTCTCCAAGAGATGAACTATATCCCATCCAGACAGGTAACCCTGACATTGCCACACAACAACATAAGTGATAAAGGTGCAAATTTTATCTTGCAAATGGCTAAAACTATAGTTATTTGACCTGAAACTCAGAGGTACTCCCAGTTAACCTCCACTTGAGTCCCAGTTACTCCTATGATCATAAGTGACAGGTGTTGACAAACGGTTTTCTAGAACAAACAGCAAAGTCAGACGCCCCATTTTTGTACCATGTCCTCATGTACTGTGAACCATGTTAAGAAAGCCAGAATATGCTGTCAGCTCCATCCTCTAATTCATTAGATTGGTTTGATTCTGCCAGGCTGTTGCTTATCACTACAGGCAATGAGAGGTTAGTGTATTTTTTTTTTCCTTCCCATTGTAAACTACTGCAGTTTTAGAGAATAAAGGCTGATTATCCATCCTGACACCTACACACTATGGTGACTGATTCACTTGAAACTCCTGTATAACTCTATCTATCTTGGCAAAGGCCAACAATTCCTTTAGGCTACTAGTCCAACCATTTGTAAGTTGTCTCTGCTAATAGTGTCTAGGAATTGATAATATGACAGTGCCAGTAAATTCCCGAGCCTCAGGATTCTTAAAGCTCTGCAGTGAAACAGTCCTCTGAAGGAGCTCATTGCTTTCCTGCCATTCTGGGGGATTATTTTCCTGGTAGATGCCTAAATCTCTCATGGTTAGTTGCTCTGCCACCTGCACTGCACCAGCTGTCCGTACCCAAGAGCATTTCTATTCTAGTAGTGGGAGGTCTGCAAGCCACTGCTGCCATTGCAGAAGATGACTTCTGCTGCTCTCAACTTCTACGTATCTCCTCGCCTTCAACACTTTTTCAGAATTAAGTTTTGTTTCTCTCCTTCACATGTGCGCATAAAAATCTAAAAATCTGCGAGCAAAGAAGCCCATAAAAACTGCTCAGATGGCCATTTCACACAAATGTCTTTAAACGGCCTCGGAAAGCTCTGCATTACTGTACTTGAGGGGACAACCTTTCCTTTCTAAAAAGCAATGTTTCTATACTGCTGATATCAAAAGGGAAAGAAAATAAACTATCACCCTAGTTTCTGATGGTGATTTCTACCACATTTCTTGGGATAAATTGTTTCTCATACCTGAACCTGGATGCTGGAATTATAGGACACAGGACAGGTCAGCATTGCTATTACTGTGCGCATTTCAGGAGCACCCAGAGGCCCCTATTAAGGTCAGGACCCCATTACATTATACTAGCATGAAGTAGGACAATCTTTTACCCTAAGCTTACTTTCTTAATAGGGTAGGCAAGTGACAGAAAAGACACAGCCAAAGAAGTCAAGAACCCAGGTCCCTTGTTTCCCTGTCTGTACATTATCCACTACACCAAGCTACTTCTTTCAGAGATATATATTTATGTACTTTGTTCGGTGCAGCCTACAAACTGTGCAGTCCCAAAAGCTTGACCAGAATCTGACTTTCACAGGCACCAGCATTCACCCAGCCCTATTTTACATTCACAGCTACTTGAAGATTTTAATCCTCTCCCACAGACCTCATTCTGTTTTTTCAGTCCCTTTCAAGATCCCCAAACACAGAGATCTGGCATCTTGCTCCTAGACAGAGCACGGTGCCAGCAGCACAGTCATGAGAGAGACAATTCTCAGCACATGGCAGAGATGCAAAAAGCACAAAGCAGGGGAAATGGGTTCTTTTGCAAAGTTGTTAACCTCATCAGCCTGCAGGAAGTCAGGTTAATTGATCATCAAGCAATGCCTGTTTTAGTAATGCACTCACAGGTACCCAAGGTCTAATCCAGCTATCCTGTTACTGAGGCTGTAATTCATAGATACCTAAATACCAGACTAGTTCAGTAAGGTGCAACTACCGGAAAAATGGTTTTCTGTTGTGCCAGATGGTTACCTTTCTACAGCTCCTTGGGTCTTTCAAGCCTTTAAATTCCTCCTTGCTTTATATCATGGTTAAAGCTGTCAGAGCAGTGGCTGAAATTTAGTAATCCACTTCTTAGGAACAGGAATTTTGAAATCCCAAATGAATTTCACTATGAAGGGCTGCCATGTGTATTCCAGGGTTAAATCTTTCAGGGGGTTTCTGCCATCTGAAAGTGTTTCTGTCTACAACGAAGAAGAGCTGATGTGTTCAGCTTCTTCACCTGCTGGAAGATGGTTTTGCAGGTGATTCCAGCAACCAAATCTCAAGGTTTTACCAGCTGCTACTAAAGAGGAGAGTATGCCTCTCTCAAAATATTAAGAAACTGAAAGACCATCCACTTAACAGCAAGAATTCATATGTAGCGCTATACAAATCCGGAGTGATTCATATGTTCACTAAATTCTCTTAATGCTCATGCAAGGTAAGTAATAAATTATGCTCCTATCTGCTTTACAGAACTGGACAGAATTAAGGTTATGCCTTTGGCATTATAGCTACTCAACAGCAGAGCTAAGGACCGATGTCTCCTGACTGACACCCTGCGGTAATTGCATCAGGTGACACAGCCTCACACAGACAGGAAAAAGTCAAGGAGAAACAGAAATGGCAGCTAAGTGAAAGAAAACACCATGGCAATCTTTCACCCAGCAATTTATGGACAGCCACATTATCTGAAAACCGTAAGCCACCAGGTGTGAAGTTACCTTCTCAGAGGAGGTGACACACTGAAGAACATCCATGAATGGATGATTATTGAGCACATGTTGCTAAGCAAGGCTGATAAGACGAGTTTCTTCCATAAAGCCTGTTATACAAACTCTAATTTGAAGCATTCCTTATTTAAAGCAGCAATTACAACATTGCATTAAAAATGTAACTGGCAGGAAAAAAAAATAAAAAGAGCCATAGGCATATTCCTCCTCCATAGGCAGGAGGAAAAGACAAGTAAGTGAGATTTCCAAGTGGGGAGGCAAAAAGAAAAAAAGATGCTTAGTCCTGTGGTGGAAGCAGTACCACAACCAGTAGCAGTGTTACTGCATTGGAGAGAGAGGTGCTGGATCCCACAAGAGAGGAGAAAAAAACCAAAAAGGCTATAGGAATTGCTGAGCCAGACCCCTGGGATGGGGGGAAAGGGCCACGCAAGAGTGAATAATGGAGCATCAAAGTCAGAAGCAACCAAATGATGGGAGTTTCAACCACAGCTGGGTGACA